GAAGGGAAGTAGAAAGATAAATTTAAAAGATGGAGATGACTTCCGGTGATCTGCAGGCATTAGTATAAGAACTTGGCTTGAGTTTATACCAATGACCTATGTCCCAATATGAGTCACATTTTTTTTTGTGTGTGTGTGTGTGTTTTGTTTTAACCGCCCTGGCTGTTGCCGGAGACCCTAATTTAACCCAGTCTATATGTTGAACGGGGTTTCTGGGAGCTGTCCACGGGTGATCCTCATCGGAAGGGTAGCACGTCGTGTCACCGGGTGTTTATCGCTGGGTGTGGTGTCTTGGTACGGTTGAACGTCATTATTATCATCATCATCATGTGTGTTGGTTGAGGGTTTGCGCTCCATTGCGAGATAAAGGGCAGTGGAAGCAAACGATACCATTGAGAGCTACCAGCATGAAACGGGTCATTCACTCTTTGCTCACATCTCAGTACATCTACTTAAAGGCAGTACACATTCAGTCCTTTCCTATGTAAAATTGAGTATCAGTCAATCAGTCACCGCTATAAAGATTTATGGGGAGGAGAGGGCGATTGAAAGGAGGGGGGGGGGGGGGGATTAAAGGTGTTGGAGCTTCCGGTTCTGACACTCCTCCAATCAATGCATGTCAGTTTTCTTTCAGGCTGAGCCAAATCAGACAGGAACCAACCAACCAGCCAGCCAGTCCGTCAATCACCCATATAGTCAGTTTGACCATTGCTGTATTCATGTGTTTCAGATGAAGTAAGGACGGGAGCCTATCGTCAGCTGTTCCACCCGCAGTCTCTGATTACAGGCAAGGAAGACGCCGCCAACAACTACGCTAGGAGGCTATTACACCAAAAGGGCGGGAAATACTTGGACCTAGTTCTGGACAGGATCCGGAAAATGGTATGTACAATTGTACATAAGAGGGTGTCTTAGAAAACTGTAGACTATCCCCCTACTCCCCTCCTCTTATGTAGACAAATTAAACTTATATATAATGTGTGAGGTATGTTAACAAATTTCCATCTTTCCAGACTATAGTGTTGTTTTGAGCTGTCGGAAGACATGGAAACCACAGCCCGTATATAGCGATATCCAGTGTGAGTAGTGATACTAGCTACTAGCTTCCGGTCAAAACGAACGCTAGACAGGGGCACTGTTCGAAGCAGAGGCAAATTTTTTGCTTCTGCAGGACGGTAGCCGATGCACTTTTGCTACATTTGTAAAAACTGAATATAGATTCGTCGCCCAGCTTCTGAGTTGACTGCTTGGCGTGACACTGTGAGCTGCGGATTTCATTTGGAATGTTTTTTCGACTGTGACCAACGTGGTGGTGTAAATTGTAGATTCAGAAAATGGCGCGATGATCGTCGTGCAATGTTGGTGGTGCCCGTATGTGATTAAAATTGATCGCCTGGGCAACTGCTGATCTGTTGGTGACTTCTGCTACCATCAATGATGAACTGCATTTCTAATGTCGGACTGTTTGTATTAGCACTTCGGATGGCTATCGTATGCTTTAATGCGAGTGTATGCTAGATATGCTGAGACAGCAGTCTGTTAATCTTTCCACAAGGGACTGTGATAAACATTCTGTGTGTTTTTCGTTGGCACAGGAGCGGAGCAAAGATGGTGTGAGCCGTTTGCTATGAAGCTGAAACTAAGACTACCAGACTACCAGACCACCGGACTAGCCAGAAAGACTAGACCGAAAAAAAAAATGAATCCATGAGACTCATACTCGGCTGCACAAAAAAAAAAAAAACACACACCCCCTGCAACGCCATGCGTTAGGTCCTGGGTTTGCCGACAATGGCCAGCAGACACACAATTTAACAGGTCAAGGGGTACATAATCGTATTGGCAGACGTTAACTACCCACTGTAAAAAGATATACACAACACAAAACGAATGCGCCTCAAAAGAGGCCGCTCCTGGATGGCCAAAGCTGAAGCACGTCCATCTTTAGACTATAGCTACAGAAGGGCGAGGCTGAAGATATAATCCAGCAGGTATGTGACCTAGACGAGTCAGTCAAGGTAAAGATTGGACGAATACACTAGTAGACATGCATGACACCTCTAAGGCTGTCATCAGATTGGGAAAATACTGCAGGGATCAGATTCCTGCGGCGGTAGACACAGAGGTAAGGGCACCGATAAATCAGCATTCACACCCAGAAGACTTCATCATCTACACAGATGGATCCGTTGAACACGGATCAAAGTCAGCATGGCCATACACAGCACACAGGATGGGGAAAAAATGCAAAAGGACATCGGCGATTACCAAGCAGCTATGTCAGACATAACTATTTAGATAACCGCACTATCATTGGCAGTAGAGCAAACCGCCACACAAGCAGTAATTGAATTAGACTCCTTGAAGGTGCTCCAGAAGATAGCAACAGACAGTACTCGCTCTGAATGGGAAGAAAGCATTCGAAATTTGCACTTAACCTCGCTCACCTGGATCTACACACTGCTCACGCTGGCGCAAAGGGTAATGAGCAAGCGGACCAACAGGCAAGCAGTGCACCAACGCATGTGGGGAGAAGCATGGACAGAGCAGGCTTTGTCAACGCTGTAAGAACTGGGCTAGTGGATAAGATTGAAACTCTGGCACTAACACGATTGCGTGACATGGGAGTAAAGCATGTTGTAGCACGTCTATGCTGCCTTTGAGGTCGAGAGAGGAGACATTATATAATCAATCTCTCATAGCAACAATTAGTAGAAATACCTTGGAGTAGTTGCTGCAACGGAGGACTGATCATTCTAAGCTTAGTGGCTTTGGAATCCTTACCTTACAAAACACATTTGGGAAGGTTTTGAAGAAGATAGTTGCTGTAAAGTTACAAGAATTTTTGGAAAGGGGGAAGCTTCTCCCAAGAGGTCTGGGAAGTTACAGGCCAGGAAAGGACACTTGGGCAAATGCGGCCACTTTTGCTTTTGACGTCTATGAAGGGTTCCAGAACAGACAGGAAACTATGGCGGTAGGACTAGATCTCGAGGATGCTTATAACAGAGTGAGATACGACATCTTAATAACTGCACTGAGGGAGAAGAAGGTCAATCCATGGCTGGTGAATTGGGTTGCAGCTGTCCTGTATTCACGTCGGATTGCTCTCCGACTGGGCTCATGGACCTCTGAACCATGCACTTTGGCCCCAGGACTGCCACAGGGATCCGCCATCTCGCCTGTGCTCTTCAACGTGTATACGAGCAAGATTGCAAGCCTAGAAGCACCAGGAGTTGGAAGGATACTAACTTCTGCGGATGATATACTTGCATATAGGCAGGGGGAAGAGAGAAAACAAACAGGTCGGGAGCTACAAGCGACAGTAGACAAAGTGACTGAGTGGTGTACAGAAATGAAGGCTGTCGTCCACCCGGAAAAGGCGTCTGTTTTGTGGTGATCTCTGCACAACAGAATCGTTAAAACTAATGTCCCAAGTCTCACGATAGATGGAGAGACGTCAACAGAGAGAGCAAACTGAAGTATCTGGGAATTACATTTGACAGGAGCCTGTCATTTAAAGACCACGTGGAGAGTGTTTTGACGAGATGCCAAAAAGGACTTAGTGCACTTAAGACTATGGCTGCAGTTGACATAGAGCAGAGAATGCTTTTCAAACTATATCAGCACCTGATCCTGTCAGTGGTGGATTATGGCCTGGGACTGCTTACCGTCTCAAAGAGTCAGATGGACAAACTAGAGCGCATACAGAACGCGGCTATGCGGGTCATTCTGGGTTGCACCAGAGACACCCCAGTGGTGTTTATGCGATACATCCTTGGTTTGCCGACGGTTGCAGGTAGGCACAAGGTGATGCAGGCGAAGTCATATCTCAGGGTAGCTGCAGACACAGACCACCCTCTGCATGAAGCTCTGGGTGCAGTTAAGAGTCAGCGGCTGATAAGAGGGAGGTCATGCAGGCTCAGGCAGAAAACACAATCAGACAGGTTTGCATCCTTGATAACATTAGGCGAGGAGAGGAGTGGGTCAAAGTGCCACCTGAGCAGTCAGACTTGTGTAGAGTCATAATCACACTGAACCGGAAATGCAGAGACTGGCCAGCAGGTCCCACAGAGGTGGAAATTCAGCAATTAATTCAAGATAATGCTTGCTCAGAGGATTTGATCATTTACACAGACGGTTCAGTGTCTAGAGGCAAAAGAAGTGCTTGGGGCTTTTTAGCAAAAGTTAATGGTCAACGTTTGGTGCAGGAGAGCCTAGCATATGATACCACAACATCCAGCTTAAGAATGGAGGTGGAGGCGGTCACTGCAGCTTTCCGCTGGCTAGAGAACACGACACACACACACATTGTAATTGTAACTGATTCAGAAAGCATGCTGAGGAAGATCAGAACAGGTATGCTTCGTGCAGAGTGTCATGCTTCGCTGCGGAGGACACGAGTGAGGAGTATTGTCTGGATTTTTTTTCCACCGCGTCTCGCCGGTGTGTTGGGAAATGAACGGGCGGACAGACTGGCTGGCTCTGCACAACTTGGTGGAATACTGCTACATGATAGGGCAGACGTGGTTAGTGCCTTGTGGGAGAGCGTGTACAATGCGGAGGAGCAGATGGATCACCACAGTCTGGTGAGATTGATGCAGTTGGGGGTGACGAGAGGTTCTGGCAGAAGCTCAAGGCTCAGAGGAAAGGCAAGACGGACGTTTAATCAGAAAGCTACTGGCACCATTAGTATCGAAACTCTTCGCTGGCTGCTGAAGATGGAGACGGAGCGCTTATGGGAATGCCCCGAGTGCTGTGATGTCGGTTCTTGAATCAAATCAAATCAAATCAGGATTGAGCACGCATGGGAATGCCCAATGTGCAGTAAGGTCGATTGTGATAACATAACATAACAGTGATACCAGTTTTAAGAAAGGTCTTCCACATTTGCATTATTAAAAAAATCATCGCGTGGGTTTCGGGCCCCGATTGTAGGGAAAACAAGAACAGACCCACTACCTCGAAGGAAGCATGTCGTAAGTGTGGACTTATTGGGAGCTTCCTTAGAAGTCGGAGTGCATCTGCCCCTGAGGCAAGAAATTAACAGTCTGCATACAAATGAGTTAGATCTGTAAAACTGATGCACACGCAACACTCACGTTCTGGAATAGGACTACAGTCCAGAAGTGGACAAACAACCAGAACTATCTCCCCCCACTCTCCCTCCCCACCCCGGAGTTTACAGCTGATTAGCGAGAAGAAGAAGAACTTTAAAAGATCTTAAAAAAAATTGCAAAAGATACGGGAAAGAAAAGAATGTTGTTGAATGTTGAATAAAGAATCGAAATCACAGCATTCGTTACACTTCCATAAGGGCTCCGTACCCATCCTCAGCAGCAAGCGAAGAGCTCCAATTCCGATTGTACCAGTAACCGTCTGATTGTATATCCGTCTTATTCTTTCCCTTGAGTGTTGAGCGTCGGGCAGATCCCCGGGTAACTCCTTGCAGCGCCATTCTCCTCAGACCATAATGATCTATCTGTGCTTCCGCACTTTTCACTCGTTCGCGAAGGGTCCTCACAATATCTAACTTGTCATACATCAGTTCACCGCAAAATGGTACAGAGCCGGCTATTCTATCTGCCTTCTTATTTCCCAACACACCTGCATTACCTGGAGAAAATATCCAAAGGAGAAAGATAGGAAATGATAATTAAAAAACAAGTATCTGTCAGCCAAAGCACTTACAATAAACAAACACCGGACCCTGCTGCCCTGAGTTTCACCAGCAGAACATCCAAACAAAACATAGCATACACAAAAATGAACTGACTGAAACTAACTCAGAGATACAGCTGCAGATAGGCGAAACCTTACGATTAGTTGCATTATAAAGGAGCTGATAGCATATACCGAATTTGGGTAACTGTGGTGAGAGCCCTTGGGGAACAAGGAACGAAGTCAAAAGTGGAACTAGATAATTATGGGCTGGAGAGAATGACGCAGATGGGCGTGGTTAGAGGGTTTGGCCGGCACACTACACTCAGAGGAAAGGCAAGCTGGACATACAACAAGTCTACGACTGGCAGTGGGTTTCAGCATTTTTTTTTTAAGTGTTAAACAGTTGGAAACTCTGACGGAAAGTTATGGTTTTTCTTCCATTTCTGGATTTTGATATTGTACAAGAACTTTAGTTTCGCACCCATATCCGTGCGACAAATATAGCTTTTTTTTTTTTTTTTTAAACAGACTGTTAGTTACTCGTCTCGCGTGCAGATGTACTGTGACTTCAAATGAAAATCCCCCGATTAGTCACCTTTACGACATGCTTGTTAGAGTCGGAGTCGGTTTGTTCTTTCTTCCCCCAAAACGCGGTACCAGAACCCACACGGGATCAAACACACTTGTATTTAAGGGTGCCCACTCTACCTGCAACTTCGAAAAGACACCTGGCCTCAAGAGCAAAGTGTGCAGAGCACGCAATGGGGAACCATGCAGGACCTGCAGTTGACATGCGAGTTCATAGAGGCAACCCACCTGATGGTCTGATCTGAGCATACGAAACCGAACGCAAAGAAGAAGAAGAAGTATTTAAGGGAGAAAGGAGGGAATTAAACGCATTGTTTCCTGAATTACACGACACAAAGAAGAGAATTCTAACACGCTTACTGCACATGTCTGTTTGGATTGACAGGCTGACCAATGCACTGGACTCCAAGGCTTCTTCATATTTCACAGCTTTGGCGGCGGGACAGGCTCGGGGTTCACCTCGCTGCTGATGCCTCAGCTAACCCACGACTACAGTAAAAAGACCAAAATGGAGTTCTCAATTTACCCAGCCCCACAGGTTGGTATTGTGATCTTGTGTGGAGCACAATAAAAGTATTGAAATACATTTTAAGGAAAAAAAGCACCTCAAAAGGAATAAAAAAGAAAGGAATCAGAAAGAAAAATATGACCGACACTAAAGAAAACGGGGGGGGGGGGGGGGGGGGGGGGGGGGGGGGGGAGTATATAATAGAAAATGGAACGAAAATGTGCACCAAAAATTAAATAGAAATGTATCTGTTATAAATCTTAAAGAAATATATGGTAAGGATGAGAATGTATAATATGTGCAGGAATGAGAAAGAAAACTTTGTGACAGAAATGAGAAAGGGAAGGAAATTGTGTGCAAAAATGAAAAGATAGGTGTATGAAAGTAATGAGAAAGAAAAATATGTGACAGAAATGGGAAGGTGTGTGTCATAAATGGGAAAGAAAAATGTGTATCAGAAATGAGAAAGTACAGCGTGTTACAGAAGTGGAAAACTTGCTTGCTAGTTGTACCCCACCAGGACATCACACAAGCGATAAACACCCGGTGACACAATTTGCCACCATGCGGATGAGGATCACCGTGGATCACGCAAAGAGAACTTGACAAAATGTATCAAGTAAATATATATACATGTCGTCCCCTTGTGGGATGCAGTTTCTCGTTATTTGAAGCCCCACCCTGGCGTTTGCCGGGGGGCCCTGAATAGGCTATAGCTGGGTCACGATTGTAGTCAAAACGGGAAGGGGTTTCTGGGACATCTCCACTGGTGATCCTCATCCGCATGGTGGCACTTTGTGTCACCGGCTGTTTATCGCTTGTGTGATGTCCTGGTGGGATACAACAAGGAAGCAGCAACTGCATCCAGAATGAATCACAAATGAACATAAACCACTTAGTAATATATAAATGTCGGTGGCTTAGGCGTTGCGAACGCGCTTTGTAATGCCAGGGTGTCGGGTTTTTATCTCAGCTGCGGACAATTTGTCTTACGTTGGTCTCGACAGTGCTACCGAGAGCTGACCGTTCAGTAAGCAGTGGCAAATTACTAAACGTAAAATTTGCTTAGAAAAACAACAGCGAAAAAAAAAAAAGCTTGGGTTGGTTTTGCGAATTCCTGTAAAGGATACGTAACTTACGTTTTAATGTATAAATAAAATATAAACACAATCTGGTGACAACAAGTACGATCAGTATGGCTGTTGTGCAGGGAAACGAGGCTAAAAGGGGCGTGGTCTGAATGCTGTGATGTCGACTTCACCCAGATGAACCCAGAGGGTATCAAAGAATTTAAACGATTATACCCTGAATATCCTATTTATTCTTTTGCAGATTTCTACAGCTGTAGTAGAACCGTACAACGCCATCTTAAACACGCACACTTGTCTGGAACATTCCAACGTCTGCTTCATTTTCGACAACGAGGCCTGCTACAACATTTGCCAGCGAAATTTGGACATCGCCCGGCCTAGATACACTAACATCAATCGGCTGATTGCACAGGTTTGTTACTGCAAGTTACCCCTGGCTGATATCTCAAGGGTGGCCTAATTATAACTTTTCTTATTACTTCCCAGGTCCTCACCTTGTACCCATTTAAATTTGGGTCGACCTGGGAGCCAAGGTTCCGTTGTAAACTAATCCGGCATGCATGTAGAGATTGCAGTCCTGTGAGTTTTTGTAACGCGCCACTGAGCTCTCTCTCTCTCTCTCTCTCTCTCTCTCTCTCTCTCTCTCTCTCTCTCTCTCTCTCTCTCTTGTTGTACCTTACCAGGACATCACACAAACGATAAACAACCGGTGACGCAAAGTGCCCCCAGGCTGATGAGAATCACCCATGGAGAGGTCCAAAAAACCCCATTCAGATGCTAGGCCACACTTAAGGCCCGTCTATGTTTGAAGGTCCCCGGGAAAGGCCAGGGTACGGCTTCAAAAAACGAAAAATTGCATTCTACATGGGGACGACATAGTTACAAACAAATTTGTTCTACCAGGGGCCTGTGATGCTGTTAAGATGGCGCTGAGAGAAGTCCTGGTTCCAGAGACGTTGAGACAAAGGAGTCAGACGATAAACCTCCTTTTGGATATGAGTATTCAATGACGACAAGCATGCAGAACCATCATGCGGTGAGAAGAAGATCTGCTAATCAACTCCTACTGGGTACGTAGAGCATCGAGACACTGAGATGGTTGATACCTCGAAGAACGAAGCACGAATGGGTCCTGCTGGGACGTCGATACGGATAATAAACAACACATAACAAGATTTTGATACTTCTTCTTCTTCTTCTTCTTCTTCTTCTTCTTCTTCTTCTTCTTCTTCTTCTTCTTCTTCTTCTTCTTCTTCTTCTTCTTCTTCTTCTTCTTCTTCTTCTTCTTCTTCTTCTTCTTTTTTTTCTTCTTCTTCTTTTTCTTCTTCTTCTTCTTCTTCTTCTTCTTCTTCTTCTTCTTCTTCTTCTTCTTCTTCTTCTTCTTCTTCTTCTTCTTCTTCTTCTTCTTCTTCTTCTTCTTCTTCTTCTTCTTCTTTTTCTTCTTGTCTTCTTCTTCTTATTCTTCTACTTCTTCTTTTTCTTTTGTTCTTCTTCTTCTTCTTCTTCTTCTTCTTCTTCTTCTTCTTCTTCTTCTTCTTCTTCTTTCTTCTTCTTCTTCTTCTTCTTCTTCTCTTCTTCTTCTTCTTCTTCTTTCTTCTTCTTCTTCTTTCTTCTTCTTCTTCTTCCTCTTCTCCTCCTCCTCCTCGTCCACCTTGTACCTCAGCGAAGTGTCGGGGGGAGATGTAACATTCATTGATGAGCTCTGTCATGAGCACTAGATTAAGATTATGATACCCGGGCGCAAACATCTGAGCCACAGAGTCACTCATAATAGATTTGTTTCAAGCTGTTCTGGTCGTTATTTACCGTGATTATAAAAATGTGCGTCAGCGGGACGTGAGCGACATATATTACTTGATATCAACCAAGGGCGCCGTCTTCACAGTGAAGGTTGACTACATTGTATCTCCCAACATCCTCCGTCTTTCCCTTCTGTATACACACTTTCTGCTGTTAGGCCATCTCTTATTGTCACCCGCCTTCTTGATTCGCAGATCTGCCTCTTGTTTGGCTTCAAAGGTGTCCTTCAGTATAGTTTATGTGTCATATACATGTGAGCCATAAAATGCTATGTATGCATTTGATGAGTCGTGGACTATCTAGCAGTCATTAAGGAAGAAAATATGGGCTTATGAGCTGAAATTCTGTAGAAATATTCTCATTATATCATGGACCGAGCAGAACAAAAATACTAATATCAATGAAAGGTTGGAACATCAAGGAATATTGAGTGGTAAACAGCATTTAGTTTCTGAAACTGGATAATTTTAGCCATGTCAAGCACCATGGCGGATTTTAGAAAAATAGTAGAAGAAAGCACGGTAGCATGAAAGCATGGTAGCATGAAAGCATGAAAGCATGAAAGCATAGTAGCATGAAAGTATGGTAGTATGACAGCATGGTAGCATGAAAGTATGGTAGCATGAAAGCATGGTAGCATGACCGTATGGTAGCGTGAAAGCATGGTAGCATGAAAGCATGATAGCATGAAAGCATGGTAACATGAAAGCATGGTAGCAAAGACCAGCTATATGATGACGATGACAGTATGCTACATCTGACACTTTCGCTTTGCGTTTGTGTGTTGACTGTCCAGGTCGTTGCTGCTGTGACAGCATCGTTGAGATTTGAAGGTTCTCTAAATACGGACCTTGTGGAGTGGCAGACGAATCTGGTGCCTTTTCCCAGAATACATTTCCCTCTGGTATCCTACGCTCCAGTCATATCTGCTGAAAAGGCTTACCACGAATCGCTGACCGTTGGTCAGTTGACAAACGCCTGTTTTGAACCATCCAATCAAATGGTAAGTAAGAGTGAAAGTAAAGGAAAAAAAAAGTGAAACTATGGGGATTAGAGCTTAATAAGAGCGTGTCATAATCATCGACGTATCAGAGCTCGATTTTCGAGACAGGCAGTAAGAAAATGTCATTTTAAAGGCATTCGGACAGCGGTACAAACGCTAGGGTTAAAGTCGAGAGAATCAGCTCCTTCGCACCATGCTTTATCATCTACTTCTGTATCGCTAAATGCATATTATTACATGAACATAAAATGCTTTATTGATGAAATACAACTGCTGTGTGAAAGATGGGAGTTTGGAATGGCCAAATGGAAGACAGGCCTGCGTGCCTAATTTGTAACCCTTTGAAAATAAAGTTCGTTCGTTCGTTTGTTCGCACTGTCGAAATACTAGCCCCAAGCCAAGGGCTTAGCGCGAAGCATGAACTCCATAGCCCCAGCGACGGATACATGGTGTAGCTGAAACATGCAAAAAGATGATCAAATCCATCACCCAAGCCACCCGGGAAGTACAAAACGAATCAGATAGCATTAACTTATGTCCCTTAGTTTACCAAGCAAATGGACGAAAAGGAGACGGAGGAAGAAAAAACACGAGCCACCACCAAACAATCGAGCCACCACCAAACAACCGAGCCACCACCAAACAACCGAGCCACCACCAAACAACCGAGCCACCACCAAACAACTAAGCCACCACCAAACGACCGAGCCACCACCAAACAACCGAGCCACCACCAAACAACCGAGCCACCACCAAACAACCGAGCCACCACCAAACAACCGAGCCACCCCCAAACAATTAAGCCACTGTATTAACCCCGAGCCCCCCCCCCCTAAGCCCCCCCCAATCGACCGAGCCAATCCAAAAAAACCACGGGTACCACAAATAATGCCAAAGAAGAAAATACTCCGCACAAAAGACCCCGATCCACCACCAGTGACACCCCCCCAAGAAAACAAAAATTCGAGCCACCACCAAATAACCGAGCCACTGTATAAAATACTCCGCACAAAAGACCCCCCCCCCACCACCATGACACGAAGAAAAAACCCACGGGTACCACAAATAATGCCAATGAAGAAACTACTCCGCACAAACAAAAACCCACGGCCACCACCAATTTACACGACAGAAAAACTACTACTCCGCACAAAAAAACTTGAGCCACCGTATAACACAGAGGAGCCACCCCCCCCCCCCCCCCTTCAAAAAAAAAAAAAAAACATATTTACCTAAAGAACGAAATGCTCCTCATTAAACACCATGAGCCTCCATAAATGACACACATGAAAAAAAAAAAAAACTTAACAAAACCCGGAAACTTCACAAATGACACGAACAGCAAGAAACCCGAGTCACAATATGGCGGCTTCATTGTTCTTCTTCCTGTCCAACGATTCGCCTGGATTATGATACCTAACCTCAACACTATACACTACTCGCATGGCTAGTGCTGTCGCCACAAATCGTGCTGAATAAGATTTTATTTTTGCTTTTGACAAAAAAAAAGTCATTCCTCAATCTTAATCGAGGATTCGAACCCCGGTCTCCCGCTTGAGAACCCAGCGTTCTAACCGTTCAGACAGCTGCTCCTATAACTGTAACAATGTCATCTGGAGAGACGGAAAGGTGCCATCCAATCCATTATTGGAACTGTTTTACAGATTTCCGTAGATCCACGGAGAGGGAAGTACATGGCCTGTACAATTCTGTACCGAGGGGATGTTGTACCTGGCGATGTCAACTCTGCTATTTCTGCCATCAAGTCAAAAAGATCCATCCAGTTTGTGGATTGGTGTCCAACAGGGTTTAAGGTATAGTTTGAAAAGGTTGTGAAATAAGTATTCTATGTTTCTTAAAACATACGAGTGTTCAAGCGTCTCTCTCTCATGTCTTTCTTTCTTTCTTTCTTTCTTTCTTTCTTTCTTTCTTTCTTTCTTTCTTTCTTTCTTTCTTTCTTTCTTTCTTTCTTTCTTTCTTTCTTTCTTTCTTTCTTTCTTTCTTTCTTTCTTTCTTCTTTCTTTCTTTCTTTTTCTTCTTTCTTTCTTTCTTTCTTTCTTTCTTTCTTTTTCTTTCTTTCTTTCTTTCTTTCTTTCTTTCTTTCTTTCTTTCTTTCTTTCTTTCTTTCTTTCTCTTTGTCTGTCTGTCTCTCTCCCCCTTTCTCTCCTATTTCCCTCTTCTTCTCATCTTCTCCTTGTTTTATGTATCCCCCTGTCAGCTCCGTGAAACAGTCTGTATAAACCATTGTAGTTTATCTTGTACTGAAGGCACCTTTGAATATAATATTCCTGAATCAATGATAATGGGCATACATCTGTTTTTGTCTTCTGTACCGATTTTTTTTTTAAACGTATCCAGAAACCATGAGTTGTAAACCCTTTGGCTCGGTACTATGGATTTCGCAACCCTTCGGCATTGATTCCATTATAGGTACCGTTAATCTGGGAGAAATGTGGCTTTTCTGCCTACCCCCGGGAGTTAACCCGGACCACAAGGAGTTCGTCACCCGGCCGCCGCGAAAGTCAGCTTCAACCAGCTTCGCTAGAGAGCCGGGTCTGGGGTGTCGGGTTCGACTCCACCTGCAGATGGCTTGTCTTGCTATGGATTCGTCAGCGGTACCGAGAGCAGAAGCAATGGCAAACTACTGAACGTAACATTTGCCTAGAAAAAAAAAAAAAAAAAAAAAAAAGGCTGGTGTTGGTTCTGCAACGTAATATAAAGGATACGAAACTAACTTTTAACCGATAACAGTAGCTCTGTATTGTTGTGTTTCATACTGTTGCACACAAGGTACACATGAACCGATGACAGTGAGTAAACACCATTGTATTGATGTTCCCAAGATAATTATATATTAATAGAGTAACAGAAAATGTATTGATCGGCACTCGTAGAAAGATAGAAGAACACACTAGACAACATAACAATCAAAAGCTGTGGTTACCGTGCCGGGAATCGAACCTGTCACCTTCAGACGGCGTTTGCGCCTCCCTATGGAAACAAGCGCACTATAAAAATGGTCAACTTGGCATCTCCCCACCCCGCACACCCCCAAAAAGGTGCCTTTTTGGCCTTGTCTATCGTACAGCTTGAAATCCACAACTATGGAATACGGACAGAATTCATTTCAAACTATTGAAATGGCACCATGGGTTACAGAATTGTAAATTAACGAAGCATATGTCGAATAACAAACACAGCAACAATTTTATGACCTTGCTGCGTTATTTCCTTTCACCGTAACCTTTCACCTTCCGCAAAGCCTTTTTCTCTCTATGCGTAACTTCCTGTCCACGTTGTTTTTAGTTACCACAAGTCCAGATTTTAGACACTTGGTATCTGAAAAACAACGCATTTCAAATCCTTTATACGTCAACCAATGGCAGAACGCTAAGATTTCTGGAAGCTTCCGCGATTCGTCACCTCCGCCCGGAACTCTGTATACAGAAAGAGATGGTTCTGACTTTACTGCTGCCCTGGTAAAACAGGCAGTTATGTTTTGATCATTGTTGAAATTGTACTTTAGTTATAAAGGATTCACTTATTTGATTCATTAAATGTAATTGTTACTGTAGTATGCACCTGACGAAATACCACAAAATATGCCAGGCAATACATTGTGCAGTCTATTGTTTATGTCTTTTTTGTTTAAATTAACAATGGGGAAACATTACTGCTTTCAGTCTGGCAAGTTTTTGCTTCTGACAGTAGTCGGCCGTTGCATTTTCCACTATACGTAGATGGAATAATATAGTTCCATCGACCAGCAACAGAGCTGTGTGTTTGGCGCGACACTGAGCTGCTGATTTTCATTTTCCAAAGTGGAGTGTACTGTGAACTACGGATTCAGAAACTGGCGGGTGGCCTGTTGCTAGAGAAATACTTGTGCCTTATGCGATTAATTGCGTGTGCGACTATTGATCTGTTGTAACTGCTGCACTTTTACGTGAAAACACGCGCGTATTCGAATGCCAACGTTGTGTCAAAAGTTAAAAGCAATCAGTAAAGAGATTAGCTTTTATATACAAAGAAACATTTATATTTTTATTTATATAGATTGCCTTAGTAATTCTTTATGTTTTCGCTACTAAATTACCTGATTACATCGTTTTAAATTGATTATTCAAGTGATGAACCAAAGTAATGACTTGGTTACTCAAATTGTCAGGTGGGAATCAACTACCAGCCTCCAACAACAGTCCCCGGAGGAGATCTGGCAGCTGTGCTTCGTGCCGCCGTCATGATGACCAACACAACAGCTGTGGCCGAAGCCTGGGCCAGGCTGGACCACAAGTTCGACCTCATGTACGCCAAACGAGCGTTCGTGTTTTGGTACGTGGGCGAAGGCATGGAGGAGTCCGAGTTCTTCGAGTCTAGAGTGGACCTAGCCGCTCTGGAGAAGGATTATCACGAGGTTGGGATACCGTCCAAGTGATGGTGGAAAGATTATTACGAGGTTGGGATACCGTCCAAGTGATGGTGGAAAGATTATTACGAGGTCTTGATACCACTGGGAAACCGCCGTGCTGTAGTAGCTACCTGCGGATCAGAAGGTCATAGGTTCAAATCCACATGGAGCCAACATTTTCAGAAATGACCCTGCCTTAAAAAAGTAGCAGGTAAGGCCCTGGGAAGTAAAGTCGGCCGGCGTGATGTTGACCACATCATCCACCAAGTTCCGATTGGTCTATGAGATCTAGCCCTATATGCCCAGTAAGCCTGAAGGTGTAGACAAGGGTCCTTCCTGGGATACCATTGAAGTGATATTTGCTACGTCAGAGAGCAACAGTTTTATCAGCACCAGCGAGTCTCCGTGACCAGGTGGTTAAGCTGCTGGCCAGGTTCTCAGAGGACCAACGGTTTCGTTCTGGACTTCGTCTTGTAATTTGCGAGTGTAAGGGCGTCAGAGATTCCTGGAAGTTGTCGCTGGAACTTGGGAGTTAGGTTCTTTGTGTGAAGCTCTTGGAGGGAGATCAGCCGCTCTCAACCCAGAGCCCAGGGGGAATTACTAGAATCCAAGTCCACGTGAAACAATCCTAGCCCTTCCCAGGGATTAAACCCGTGACCTCTAGCACTCGAGGCGGACACCATGCCTCGAGACCATAAACCCCCTCCCCCCACCCAGTAACATGACCAAACAGAACTGAAACTAAACTTTCAGTAAGTTAAATTCGGAAGGTCCCACTTAATTGCACCGGGTTTGATCTTCCATGCTGTAATGTTAAACTGTCCAGCATGTTCTCCCCGTCTCCGTCAGCTCCTTTTCGCGTCTAACTGGTCCATGTCCCCGGTAATTAGCCTCCTTTGGAAATTTTCTCTAGGTCACACCGGTGTGTTGAGAAAAGAGCAGTCATATAAACTGGCCGGTTCTGCACCACTTGGTGGTGAAATGATGTATGACAAGCTGGATGTTGTGAGGGCCCTCTGGGAACGAGTGAACAGTGCAGAGGCAACAGACAGATCATTACGGTCTGAGGAGAATGTCGCTGCGTGGAGTTAGCAGGAGATCTGGTCGACGCTCAACATTCAAGGGTAATGTACATATATTGATCTTGACATATACACTTTCAACACATATATTATTTTGTCAGGTATACTAATCGTGTGCAGGTGTATTACTTTTGACACTACTATACATATGTACATATACGAGTATTTTCTTTCATACATATATTAATAGCGGCGTCCGTGGCTAAGGCGTTGCGAGTCTGATTCGTGAGCCAGCATACCGCGATCGAAACCCACTGCAAGCTGCGTGGATTTTTGTCATGGTATGGGACGTCGCAGGTCGACCCAGCCCAAAATGGGTACCAGGATGGGCTGTCCTGGGAAAGTAAAGACAGCCGGCGTAATGCTGACCACATTACCCACAGAGTGCTGATGGTCTGTAAAAACATATGGGACGCTCTGCCCATATGCCCGATGCGCCGAAAGGCGTGAAAAGGGATCTTTACTTTTTTTTTTAACTACATATATTAATACTGTGTAGATGTACGATAATTTCCTGTCATGCAGATATTAATCTTATGTTCATATATACAAATGTGTTTTTAATAACATTTTAAGTTTATATACCAGTACAGGTAATTCCTTTCATGCAAATATTAACTTTACGTAAATACATTTTCCGTTTGATACAAACATTTATCCTTTGCACACACACTTGCATTTCCTTTTGCAATATTACTAAATTTATGTCCGTATTTATATATTTCCTCTGATATTTATAAAAATATTATGTACAATGACAAATATTTCCTTAGATACCTATTACAGTCTCCCGTACACTTAATACATATTTCCTTTCACATTTGTGTGCGTACTGGTGTATTTATTTCTATATTTATACATATCTTATGCATATATACAAGGGTTTCCTTGAAATGCCAATGCTAATCTTATGTACATATCCAAGCACCGCCCAGAAGGCAATGACAAACTACCGAACGTAAAATAGTAAAACCATACAGCGGCCAATACATTTTGAATTGGTTTAGGATGCCTGTAAAAAGACATGCAGCTAACTTGTGTCACCCCGTAAGCTATTTGCATCTCCCTGCTTCTCTTGTTACCTTGTCCATATTCTCTGCGCATTCTACAGTCAACATTCTTCTTCAGCATTCCGAGCCCTTGAGGTTCATTGCTGCAGATTTCACCCGCCTCCACTCATCTCTCTCTCTGTTTGGCCTTATCTTTCCAGTTGGTGACACCAAGTGTTTGCAGGTCTGTCTAGACATTATCTCTCCATCGTCTTCTTTGTTTCGTGTTCTTCGACCATCAATCTCACTTGTGTATACAGTTTTTACTTCTCTGTCATCTGACATACTTTCAATATGCCCCAACCATTTCATCTATTAGCTCTCATGATGCCAGTGATCAGTAGTGATTTAAACAGATTAATAATTTCGTTGTTGCTTCTCACTCTCCATTCCCCACAGTTTGCAACTCTGATGGGTCCAAAGATTCGTCGTAAAACTCTGTTTTAGACAACCTGTAATAAGGCTTCATCTCTTTTAGTTGTGCTCCAAGTTTCAGAGCCATATTACAGTTAACATACTGTTTAAATAACAAAACTGCAATGACTTTAGTGACTAAACGCGAGCAGACCTTATCCTGGCACATTGATTATGTATGCTAATATAACGTTAACAAGAACTCTTTCAGTCCTAAGCAATGCCCAATGTGTGAATGCATTTACCCCTTGATTCCCCTGCATACTATAACGCACTCTCTGATTTTTATTATTTGGTTAGAACATAATAGAGAAATCTGGCTAACCCGATCGGTCACCGCCAATCATACTTCTGAAATAAAGCACTCATGCTTTGGCATCATGATTATTTCCTCACTTTTGGTATCTTCTGTGAAAGCTTCTGGAACGGAAACAGTTTTATGTGACTCGTACACGGCACATCATGATTATAAAAATGATAATGAATGTTAGCCAGAACAGAAGGGAGAAACAGACTGCGAGTTCTATGTGAAGCACGAACTCTACAACAGGGCAATGACGATACTGATGATGATAATGAGGTTGACGATACTGATGATGATAATGAGGTTGACGATGATGATACTGATGATGATAATGTGGTTGGCGATGACAATACTGATGATGATAATGAGGTTGACGATGACGATACTGATGATGATAATGAGGTTGACGATGACGATATGATGATGATAATGAGGTTGACGGTGACGATTAGGATTGCGTGCTAGAAGGGTATGCATTGAGAAAAGAATTTGTCTTCTCTCAACTATTTCAGTGCAAAACAATTTGTGATTAGCTCTAGCGCTTGTATGAGTCCTACACAACATCGAACGTGTTCTCGTACTGTCTACTTTTGATTAGAACATACTAAAGAAACCTGGCTTCCTCAGTATTCAGCTTCTTTGAAAGTTATACACTCATAGATTTTTATAGCGATAATGTATACGTTTGGACTTTCAAGTAAAACTTTCTGGCATTTAAAGAGTTAAAATGACATTTAAAATCGAAAAGATCGACTTCTTTTCAATGGGTTTGATCCAAAACACGTCGTTCTCTCAGTGGAGCGGTTAATTACCCGCTGAAATTTTGCTAATTGTCGTAACGATAATCACACTCAAAACTTGCAACAATATCACGAGACAAATAAGTTTTATTGTTACACATGGAAAACATAAACATATGCAATTACATAAAATATACAAAAATCATAATTATTGTTTCAGTACTATTTCTGAGAGCAGAAAACTTTTTGATTTATTTGTTTTCCTCCATTTCACTCACCACTGGCCTGAAAATAAGAACTAATACAACATATCACGTGCTCCAAGACTGTCCCCAACACAACATATCAAGGCAACATTGAGGGACATTTTATTTGATTTTCACTGGCACAAGAACGGAGCAAGTATAGGGAAATCCGACTGCAGTAAAGTTTATCAAGACAAGACCCTACAGTGTTAGAGTTGTGAGTTGGGTTATTCTGACAGCACCCCGGACACGTCTGTGTGGGCTAATAGTGCCTGTTGTATGTTTGCTGACTGACAAATTGTCCCGCCATCTGGCATGCTATCTGCAACTATGACAGAGCTAGCCGGTCTATGAGCTCTTTTATCCACCTGCCTCTGAATGAAGATGATAACTCCAACTCCACGCACAGTGGACCTTTGCAGTGGCTGTCAGTTCACTTCCTACCTACGGAGCCTGCTTCTACCCGTTTCGTGTCTTTGTGCAGTAAGCAGAGAGACCATAATATCTTAAGCTGGAAAAAGGACATTAAACTAATATCGTGAGTTGAAAAACTGGCCACCCTACTTTTATTTTCACCTGAAAAAAGGACATCCTACTAATATTTTGAGCTAAAAACGGAACATCGTACTAATATTTTGAGCTGAAAATGGGACATCGTACCAATATTTTGAGCTAAAAACGGGACAACGTACCAATATTTTGAGCTAAAAACGGGACATAGTACCAATATTTTGAGCTAAAAACGGGACATGGTACCAATATTTTGAGCTAAAAACGGAACATAGTACCAATATTTTGAGCTAAAAACAAGACATCCTACTAATATTTTGAGCTGAAAATGGAACAACGCAAGCAAGCAAGTTAACCACCACCCCACCCTTTTATTTACTAGTCATCAAGGAGAAGGGGTTATTATCGAGGAGAAGGGGGTTATCATCGAGGAGAAGGGGGTTATCATCGAGGAGAAGGGGTTATCATCGAGGAGAAGGGGGGTTATCATTGAGGAGAAGGGGGTTATCATTGAGGAGAAGGGGGTTATCATTGAGGAGAAGGGGTTATCATTGAGGAGAAGGGGTTATCATCGAGGAGAAGGGGGGTTATCATTGAGGAGAAGGGGGTTATCATTGAGGAGAAGGGGGTTATCATCGAGGAGAAGGGGGGTTTATCATTGAGGAGAAGGGTGGTTATCATTGAGGAGAAGGGGGGTTATCATTGAGGAAAAGGGGGGTTATCATTGAGGAGAAGGGGGGTTATCATTGAGGAGAAGGGGGGTTATCATTGAGGAGAAGGGGGGTTATCATTGAGGAGAAGGGGGGTTATCATTGAGGAGAAGGGGTTATCATTGAGGAGAAGGGGGGTTATCATTGAGGAGAAGGGGGGTTATCATTGAGGAGAAGGGGGGTTATCATTGAGGAGAAGGGGGGTTATCATTGAGGAGAAGGGGGTTATCATTGAGGAGAAGGGGGGTTATCATCGAGGAGAAGGGGGGTTATCATTGAGGAGAAGGGGGGTTATCATTGAGGAGAAGGGGTTATCATTGAGGAGAAGGGGTTATCATTGAGGAGAAGGGGTTATCATTGAGGAGAAGGGGTTATCATTGAGGAGAAGGGGGGTTATCATTGAGGAGAAGGGGTTATCATTGAGGAGAAGGGGTTATCATCGAGGAGAAGGGGGTTATCATTGAGGAGAAGGGGTTATCATCGAGGAGAAGGGGGGTTATCATTGAGGAGAAGGGGTTATCATTGAGGAGAAGGGGGGTTATCATTGAGGAGAAGGGGTTATCATTGAGGAGAAGGGGGGTTATCATTGAGGAGAAGGGGTTATCATTGAGGAGAAGGGGGGTTATCATTGAGGAGAAGGGGTTATCATTGAGGAGAAGGGGTTATCATTGAGGAGAAGGGGTTTATCATTGAGGAGAAGGGGGGTTATCATTGAGGAGAAGGGGTTATCATTGAGGAGAAGGGTTATCATCGAGGAGAAGGGGGGTTATCATTGAGGAGAAGGGGGTTATCATAGAGGAGAAGGGGGTTATCATTGAGGAGAAGGGGTTATCATCGAGGAGAAGGGGGGTTATCATTGAGGAGAAGGGGGTTATCATCGAGGAGAAGGGGGGTTATCATTGAGGAGAAGGGGTTTATCATTGAGGAGAAGGGGGTTATCATCGAGGAGAAGGGGGTTATCATCGAGGAGAAGGGGTATCATCGAGGAGAAGGGGGTTATCATTGAGGAGAAGGGGTTTATCATTGAGGAGAAGGGGGTTATCATCGAGGAGAAGGGGTTATCATTGAGGAGAAGGGGGTTATCATCGAGGAGAAGGGGGTTATCATTGAGGAGAAGGGGGTTATCATTGAGGAGAAGGGGTTATCATCGAGGAGAAGGGGATTATCATTGAGGAGAAGGGGGTTATCATCGAGGAGAAGGGGATTATCATTGAGGAGAAGGGGGTTATCATCGAGGAGAAGGGGATTATCATTGAGGAGAAGGGGGTTATCATTGAGGAGAAGGGGGTTATCATTGAGGAGAAGGGGGTTATCATTGAGGAGAAGGGGATTATCATCAAGGAGAAGGGGGTTATCATCGAGGAGAAGGGGGTTATCATTGAGGAGAAGGGGATTATCATCAAGGAGAAGGGGGTTATCATTGAGGAGAAGGGGATTATCATCAAGGAGAAGGGGGTTATCATCGAGGAGAAGGGGATTATCATCAAGGAGAAGGGGGTTATCATCAAGGAGAAGGGGGTTATCATCGAGGAGAAGGGGTTATCATCGAGGAGAAGGGGTTATCATCGAGGAGAATTGGGTTATCATTGAGGAGAAGGGGGTTATCATTGAGGAGAAGGGGATTATCATTGAGGAGAAGGGGGTTATCATCGAGGAGAAGGGGTTATCATTGAGGAGAAGGGGTTATCATTGAGAAGAAGGGGATTATCATTGAGGAGAAGGGGGTTATCATTGAGGAGAAGGGGGTTATCATTGAGGAGAAGGGGATTATCATCAAGGAGAAGGGGATTATCATTGAGGAGAAGGGGGTTATCATTGAGGAGAAGGGGGTATCATTGAGGAGAAGGGGGTTATCATTGAGGAGAAGGGGATTATCATCAAGCAGAAGGGGGTTATTATTGAGGAGAAGGGGATTATCATCAAGGAGAAGGGGGTTATCATCGAGGAGAAGGGGTTATCATTGAGGAGAAGGGGGTTATCATCAAGGAGAAGGGGTTTATCATCAAGGAGAAGGGGATTATCATTGAGGAGAAGGGGGTTATCATCGAGGAGAAGGGGATTATCATCAAGGAGAAGGGGATTATCATTGAGGAGAAGGGGGTTATCATTGAGGAGAAGGGGGTTATCATTGAGGAGAAGGGGGTTATCATCGAGGAGAAGGGGATTATCATTGAGGAGAAGGGGGTTATCATCGAGGAGAAGGGGGTATCATCGAGGAGAAGGGGATTATCATTGAGGAGAAGGGGGTTATCATCAAGGAGAAGGGGGTTATCATCAAGGAGAATGGGTTATCATCGAGGAGAAGGGGGTTATCATTGAGGAGAAGGGGATTATCATCAAGGAGAAGGGGGTTATCATCGAGGAGAAGGGGGTTATCATTGAGGAGAAGGGGGTTATCATCAAGGAGAAGGGGGTTATCATCGAGGAGAAGGGGATTATCATCAAGGAGAAGGGGGTTAATGACTCGCTCGACAGTAGTATTGAAACCCAGTCCTTTGTTGCCAAGGAGTAAATAAAACAAAATGCGCTTTAATTGCACTAGGAAAAAAATGCAACCCTCCCCAGACATCTCATTTCCAGGGTTATTAACTGTCACTTATAATTTGTAATGAGTGACCATGCATGGCACTGCTAGCATAGGGTTGGAATGAATATGCTTTGTATGAGATGGTTCTTTGTGCTGATCGGGATTGTTAGTAAGTCGTCTTATGTTCGATGCAATTTTTGGTTATTTGAAGCCCCACCCTGGCTTCTGCCGGGGGCCCTGAATAACATCGAGCCATAAATATGGCCCAACGGCTGAAAGAGGTTTCTGGGACCTTTCCACTGGTGATCCTCATCCACATGGTGGTACTTTGTGTCACCGGGTGTTTATCGCTTGTGTGATGTCCTGGTGGGATACAACAAACTACCCACCTGATCGGAATTGCCTTATGCTGTAGGCGAGGAACGGCGGGGGGTGGGGTAGGGGGGGGGGGTTGAAGGGAGTTGGTGAGTGGGTAACTTGTCCCAGTTCTTGGTTTGTTTTACTCCATCTTATGTTACAAACACGTTATATTATAATTCCAGTTAATAAGTAGTGTGATATCTTGACCACTGGAACGATCTGTGGAAGGAGGGATAGAGGAAGACAACAAGAACAGATTTTTGACAGTCTTGTTGCATGGCATGGATGTGCGTCAGCACACAAACTAATACATGCAGCAGGAGATCGCAGATTGTGGAGAGGCATGATCGCCCACGCCAGGCACCTGATGATGATGATGATAATGATATCTTAAGTTGTTTTCTTCATTCTCCTGAGCTGGATGTACGTGAGGCAAAACAGGCCAAGGGAATACAGAAGAAGAGCTGTATAATTGCGCCAGAGGTCCCAAGGCTCCTTATAGCTGACCTGCTGCGTCTCCAGGAAGTGGTTTCCGCTTTGACTGTCGGGTAAAAATTAAAGTAAATGTTGAATGGTAAAACTGATAATATTACAGATAAGATAAGTGAATGACACTTTTCTTTATCTATAGGCGCATTGGACATATAGGGCTAGACCTATATTTTACAAACCAATCAGCACTCGGTGGATTAGGTGTTTAACAACACACTAGCTGCCTTTACTTCCCAAGACTTTTCCCGGTACTCATTTAAGGCTTGGTTGACCAGGGAGCCAAAGTCATTTTTGAAATTTTTTTTTTTTATAAAACTGACAACGTCAGAGATATGGCTATCTTCTTCTTCTTCTTCTTCTTCTTCTCCCTTCTATCCTTCTCTATCGCATGCAGCTCTCCCCATGTCCTCCCAATCTTTTTTACCTTCACGCTCGAGCTACCTTCTCTAGGTATTTTTGTCTACATTAATTTCTATGCCTCTGTGGGTTCCACTGCAAAGACATTCTAATTATATCGTTCTCATGTTTTCACAATGTGGTAAGACTATAGTCAAGTGATAAATTGGACAAGGTGAATGTTATGACAAAACGTTCAATGTGACACCGACAATGAAGACTATGACAACAGATCATCATGATGTTGGTAGGCTGGTATACAGAACTTACCAAGTGTCGTTTCCACAGAACTGTCTGTCTTTGAACTCATTCGTATACAGGAGCTGCAGTTAACGAAACAAACCAGCATTTAGTACCAGTTTAAACTTGCATTATCCCATTTTATATCAATATTTTGTGCAAAAAATCCATGTCAATAAAGGTAAGGAAAAGAATTCTCGCATGCTATATAGAACCAGTTTTAACATACAGCTTTGAAGCCTAGACAATTAATAAACAACCTGAACAATATCTTGAGGCCTCGGAGATGTGGTTTTACAAAAGAATCCTTAGAATTACTTGGACAGCTAGGAAGAGTAACCCAGATGTTTTGAAAGATGCGAGTGCTCGAAGACAACTTATCACAAACATCAGACAGTCGTCGTTTTTTTTTTTTTTTTGGGGGGGTCATGTTATATAAAGAGGAAAACTGGAACATGTGACCACTGGAAAGATCTGTGGAAAGATCTGTGGAAAGAGAGACAGAGAATGACAGCGTGAGAAAATTCTTGACAGTCTTTCATCGTGGCATGGAGGGTTGTCAACAAATGAACTGATACACGCAGTTGCGGATCGCAGATTGTAGAGAGGCATGATTGCTCATGCCAGTTGGCAAGGCACTTGAAAATGATATCCACAAAAACTCTAAACGGAAGATAACATCTAGTCGATGGTCGCATTCTCACTGCCAGATTGAAAGAACCAAAATCATTACTGAAACATTTTTTTCTCAGTGAGTTATGAAAAAAAAAAAAAAAAAATCGGAGCTTGTGAACTGATGTGCTGCAGAAAGATTTTCAGAATACCACGAACCAAGAAGTAAACAAAACACACCATATCCTACATGATCTGAGCATCGTCATTGACAAGCATATCCCAGGATAAAGTTAAGTATATGAAGTATTAGTAATATATCTGAAGGTAGTACTTGTAACAATAGTCATCTGTTTGATTTCTCAATAATCAGCGGTTCTGGAGTTCAATAACTCAACACATACTCTCAGCAGACAACGTGGACACACAAAGAACATCCTGTCAGAAAATCTGAGGTATTTTGAATATATCAAAAGTTATGGTGGCCTGGAAAGAAACGGCGATGAAGGATACAGTTTTAGGAAAACCAATCAGAAGCAGACCTCTGGGAAGGTGGATACATGTCACAAGCATTGGCTACCAAAGTAAACAGAGCTGGAGGCTAGAGAAAGAGAAACTTCTCGACAAATTTACGTCTAGTAGTTTGCCATTGCCCCTGGACGGTCGGCTTCTCGATACGACTGTTGAAACCAACGTAAGGCGCAAGGCGCGCACTTGGGATCGAACCCGGCATCCTGGCATTTCAAAGCGTTCGCAACTCATAAGCCACAGATACTGAGCTTAATAAGAAGGGGAATTAGTCGTTAGATACCAGGTTGTATTCCGGTGTCATGGTTATCTGTAACTGTCTTGCGCTTTTTGGATGGCTTGGTTGATGGATTTGTTATTCTTTTTGCAGGTTTTGGCTACAGCATTTATCCATCTCTTTCTTGGTCTTCCTCTCGTCTTTCTCCTATTTGTTAGTTAGTTAAGTCAAGAATTGGCATCACAGCACTCGGGGCATTCCCATGCGTGCTCTGTCCTCATCTTCAGCAGCTAGCGTAGAGTTTCAATGCTGATGGTACCGGTCACAATCTGGTTATATGTCCGTCTCGCCTTTCCTCTGAGTGTAGCGAGTCGGCCAAACCCTCTGGTTACACTCAGGTGCCTCATTCTCTCCAGGCCATAATAATCTTCTTTCTCTACTGATTCCGTTGCTTGTTCCCAAAGGGCCTTGACAACATCTGCCCTGTCATGCATCAGTACACCACCCAGTGGTGCTGATCCGGCCAATCTGCCTTCTGTCCATTACCCACCACGCCGGCATTACCAGGAGAAAAGATCCAAAGTATGCTCACTACCCGTGACCTTTTCAGTGAAACGTGCCACTCTGCTCGAAGCATCCCTGTCCTCACCTTTCTCAGCATACTTTCAGATGTTCTACCCTGCAAATCGCAGATTGTAGAGAGGCATGTTCATCCACATCCAGTCAGAAAAGTACTTGACAATGATATAATGCTATATTCTGTAGCACATGTTCACAAGCTCTGATTGTTTTTTCATCATTTAATGAGTAAAAATACATTTCAATAACGGTTTTTTCTTTCACTCTGGCAGTTCTACTGTAAAAAAAGTTTCATATGCAGTCTGGTCTGACTGAATTCTCATTAGATAGCTGAACCGTTTCATTCTTTGTCTGTCAATATAATTCAGACATGGTTTTATTCCAGCTTTTTCTCGAATGCTGGTATTCGTAACTCTGGCTCGATTTGTGTTGTTAGTGACCTTGCAAAGACAGCAAATTTCGCATGTGATTTCAGGTTGACCTTTGATAAACATAGATTACTTTACAAAAATATGTGATCAATGTACACTCTCCGGGTTTCAGGTGCCTATTTTGGGGAACAAAGAACAGACCCACTAATATAAAAATCGATTGATTGACTAGGGGTGTTTCCTTCGAGGCCGGAGTGTGTCTGCCTGAAAGGTGAGAAATCAACAGTCTTCTTACAAATATGTTAGATCTGTAAAACTGATGTGCACGTAAAATACACGTTCTGAAACAAGTCTAAAATCCGAAAGTGGATGAATTCAAGATAGACTGATGTTCAACCACATCAGGACATCACACTGAGCGATTAAAAAACCGGTGACACAAAGTGCCACCATGCGGATGAGGATCACCGATGGAGAGGTCTCATAAACTCCGTATAACACATAGGTTGGGTTATAGTAGAACTCCGGTAACAACCAAGTGGAGGCTTCCAGACAACGAAAAATTTGTCACACAGAGCGATAAACACCAGTTGACACAAAGTGCCACCATGCAGATAAGGGCCACTCGTGGAGAGGTCCCGGAAACCCCGTTCAACCGTTAGGTTATATTAGGGCCCCCGGCAACAGCCAGGGTGGGGTTTAAAAATAACGAAAAATTGCATCCCACAAGGGACAAACTATGTTAGGTGTATTAGGACATTAAGAACTTTCCCTCAAAGTGTACAGCAGGGGAATGCGAAGAAGAAAGCTTTACACTAAAACTGAATCATGCATGACTTTGATCCGTTTTGTTGTAGCAGGTTCCGTGATGTCCATTTGTAATATCTGATAATGAAGTTCCTTTGCCTAAGCTGCTTTTCTTATTACCATTCTATACTTCTTCTCTGTCTTCTCTCCCTCTTCGTCCACTTTATCCACCGTTTGCTTGTAACTGCAGTGTCATCCCTTTTACACAGCTTAATTACTACATTGTATGTTTTGATAAATATGTAATTTGTATGACTTACCGCTAGTCCATATTTGAAAATGCTGAGATACTGTGCCCAGTGCAACCATGGGCCTATTGAGTCCAGCTGAATTAAAAACCCTCCAAACAACTGCAATTAAAAAAAAAAAAAAACCTGAACAAACTGATTTTCACGGCGAACCTTATATTTGATTTAACAAAGAGGAAAACAAGCAGCGACTTCCCGTTGTAAATTTGAACGATGTCTTTACTTTAAAATAAACTAACTGAAGCAAAAGATGCATTTTAAAAACTGAAATGCAAACACACTCGACATCTAAATGAAACTTCTAAGTTACTAATGTAATCAAAAAAGCATTTTCAATTTTTTTTTATTTGTAAAAGACGTTATCAGTTATGAGTTAAGAACTGACACCATAGCACTTGACACACTCCCATAAGCGCTCCGTTCTCATCTTCAGCAGTCAGATCAGAGTTCCAGTTACGATGGTATTAGAAACTATCTGTCCGTCTCACCATTCCCCTGGGTGTTGAGCGTCAGCCAAATCCCTCGGTCACTACTTGCTGCACCATTTATCAAGTCTTTTTGTTTACATATGATTGTTAGTTTTTACTATCCATTCCGCGTTATGAAAGCAAAACGTGTTGTGGTAAATCTTAAGTTACTGTAACAGTCACTTGAATAATATCTTGAACTTTCGGCAGTAAGTTGAACAGTGTGTCTAGAGAAGACAGCGTGTGCGTTTCTAGGAAAGGATTCAATTGTTGCATTTCAGATGTTGATTTAACTCTGTAGTAATGAAAGACGAAATACAGCGAAATATACCAGGCAGTAAACTGTACAATTTAATGTGTCCCCACTATTAAATTTCCCAATGGGAAAACACTGTTTTGAATGTCCCCAGATATTTTAAACTGGCACATCGCCCCAACCCACCCACACTACAGATTACTCCGTAACCATTGTTAGTTAGTTAGTTGGTTAGTTAGTTAGACAACAGATTATCCTCATTGCACATCGAAGAATTCAGTCCATAAGTGCTCGGATCCCCTCCATAGTAAATCCAGCAGCATGCAGCGGTTTAGAACACCAGTTCTGTGTTGATTTCTTAATTCTTCGTTGGCTTTCTGCATAGTGCTCTTGCCACACCCTTTGTAACATGTTGTTGTTGCAGTCTGGTAGTAACCATTGTTAGTTAGTTAGTTAGTTAGTTAGACAACAGATTATCCTCATTGCACATCGAAGAATTCAGTCCATAAGTGCTCGGATCCCCTCCATAGTAAATCCAGCAGCATGCAGCGGTTTAGAACACCAGTTCTGTGTTGATTTCTTAATTCTTCGTTGGCTTTCTGCATAGTGCTCTTGCCACACCCTTTGTAACATGTTGTTGTTGCAGTCTGGTAGTAACCATTGTTAGTTAGTTAGTTAGTTAGTTAGACGACAGATTATCCTCATTGCACATCGAAGAATTCAGTCCATAAGTGCTCGGATCCCCTCCTTGGTAAATCCAGCAGCATGCAGCGGTTTAGAACACCAGTTCTGTGTTGGTTTCTTAATTCTTCGTTGGCTTTCTGCATAGTGCTCTTGTAACATGTTGTTCTTGCAGTCTGGTAGTAACCATTGTTAGTTAGTTAGTTATTTGACAGATTATCCTCATTGCACATCGAAGAATTCAGTCCATAAGTGCTCGGATCCCCTCCTTGGTAAATCCAGCAGCATGCAGCGGTTTAGAACACCAGTTCTGTGTTGATTTCTTAATTCTTCGTTGGCTTCCTGCATAGTGCTCTTGTAACACCCTTTGTAACATGTTGTTGTTGCAGTCTGGTAGTAACCATTGTGTGGTGCCTTAGTATAACTGTGAGATATGTCTATTTTGTTGAATGGTTATTTCTAGCTGTTTGGGTACTTCCTTAATATCCTACCCCCAAACAGGGGAAATCCACAGGTCTAATATTTCAGGGGGTGGTAGATAGGCTGCATGTAGTCGTGGGACCTAGGCTGCCTTCTTTGGTGTGATGTAGGTGGGTTAGGGTTAGGGCCAGTTCTAGATGTTTTAGGGTCGTTAAAAACATCAGAAAGCCGGGAAACCCAGTCTTACCAACCTCTAAAATGGTTGAATGTCCTGTGACATCATCTGGGGTTAGGATATTACGAAAGCATCGTCATTTAATTCTCATCCTTGGGATGTTAACCCTACAGAATGCAAATTTGGAGGGAGACAAAATAACACCCACCCCCCACACCACCTCCACCTTCTTTAAGATATTTTAAAAACAACACTGTCAGCATTATTAACGCATGTCATCTTTGACCAAACCTACCATCATGATGATGTATGTTATGGCCAGTAGCAGCTGGGCAACAGCAAACAACTTGACCATGGAACTATACAGGAAACAGAAACCAGCTGCAGAAAGTGTGATACAAAACAGGCCGAACACGAACAAGAAGAAGTGGTCAGCTCCTGGATTTAGCCCTGGCAAGGAAAAAGAAACATGGATTTGATTAGATGCTGTAACTGTAATGAAGTAGTTACTATTGAAAGTAACAAACAAAAGTGTTTATTTGTTGTCATACCCGTAAGTCGCTAGTTCTCAGATATAAAACTTGTTTAACATTTATGAAACATGACAACCTATGAAAGGAAACATCGCTTGAGAGGTCCCGGGTAGTTAGCATCTTTTGGAAATTTTCACCAGGTTATTCCGGTGTGTTGGGAAATGAGCAGGCAGATAGACTGGCCCGTTCTGCACCGCTTGGTGGTGAATTGATGTATGACAAGCTAGATGTTGTGAGGGCCCTTTGGGAGAGAGTGAAAAGCGCGGAGGCTGTGGTTGTTAAAAGACGCATCATCATCACGTACCTTGCCGACCAGCTTGGCAAAAAATACTTCTCCACATTTTACCATCTCCAAATACATCGAAGAATGACATTATACACTAATAAATACCCCCCCCCCCCCCCCCCCCCCCAAAAAAAAAAAAAAAAAAAAAAAAAAAAAACCGATACTTAACAGAAATATTGAAAGCAGGGCAGCAAGGAGTTAACAGAAATGTAAGTGGCAAAATAACATAAAAACGTAATGTTGAATTAAGAATTGACATCACAGCACTCGGGACACCTTCATAAGGGTTCCGCCCACATCTTCAGCTTTTGAACAAGTCATAGTAATTTAGACCTGTCCATTTCTTGATGTTGTCATTCCATGTTCTTCTTTACCCCCCTCTTCTCTGACCCCCCCCCCCGGTCACCCCCATGTTCCTTGCAGTATAGTCTGTTTAATCGAATCATGTCCCATCAGGTACCCACGCCAAGCTAGGTTGCGACATTTTTCATTGCCATAAAAAGCTCTTGATGTTCGGCAAGTTTGTTTATTTTTCCATCTTTTTTTCATCCCCCGATATTATCATAGCTGTGCATCCGACAAACGACTCTGGACTCATATTTTTTATAGACCAATCGTCACCGGTCGCCTTCACTTCCCATCAGTTTACCTTGTACCCATTTTTAGACTGGTTGCAACTTCTTTTTTTTTTAATTCATCTCCTTAAAGTCCTTGCCGTGTGGCCCTTCAACTTTCCTACTGTCACTATATACTCCAGTTTTCTCCTTCTCAAGACATGACCAAACAATGTAGATTGTCTCCCCCTGATGTGGGCAGTCAGTTCTCTTCGTGAGTCAGTTTCTTTCATGACGTCTTCATTACTTTTGTTATCTGTCCAGGGTATTCTCATCATCCGTCTATAAAGCCACATCTCCTCAGCTTCCAAATAAGTTTTCACTAATTTACTAACTGCTCATGATTCACTTCCGTATATCAAGTTCTGATTTATATAGCTTTTAAAAATTCTCTTTCTCGTCTCAACTGACTTGCCACTTACCCACTGAAAAGTAGACTATACAAGACAGGATGACAACAGGCACCAGTCTCAGTGGTATAATGTCGAAGAAAACCTTGACAAGGAAATAGACAGAGACTCTGTAAAAGCCACTGATGTTCTCATGCCTGTCAAAGAACAACGAAAGCACACGGTAAGTCACTGAAAGTAAATCGCAGTTTACTTATAACAGCTGATTAGCCACTGGAGACCTGTCTATAAAAATATGAGTATACCCTCATATGGTCGATGCGCTACTGGAGTCCTGTGTATAAAAATATGAGTATACCCTCATATGGCTGATGCGCTACTGGAGTCCTGTGTATAAAAATATGAGTATACCCTCATATGGTCGATGCGCTACTGGAGTCCTGTGTATAAAAATATGAGTATACCCTCATATGATCGATGCGCTACTGGAGTTCTGTGTATAAAAATATGAGTATACCCTCATATGGTCGATGCGCTACTGGAGTCCTGTGTATAAAAATATGAGTATACCCTCATATGGTCGATGCGCTACTGGAGTCCTGTGTATAAAAATATGAGTATACCCTCATATGGTCGATGCGCTACTTTAATGAAGAGGGACTTTACTTTAAACTTTACATATAACAATTTCGGGCGTCGATGGAGAATAAAGGTTTTGGTCCAGGTGGCCACGACAAGAATCGCCACGCAAGGAAATAGACAGTTATCTAGGACATCGAACTTATATTAAACTATTACAAAAGGGTACCTAAAGTTAATGGCCTAGAAACTTGCCTGAAAACCATGGATGTGAAACGTAACATAGAAATGCTACCTAAGGTTGGAAATCCCAGTCATAAATTCAGAGAAGAGGAGGTATCATGTCAGTAAATTAAAGGTACATAAACAAGATACTGGGATTTTCCCCAAAATGTATTAACCCCATGAGCCACTCCTGGTGATATTTGCATAATTGGCAGGAAAGACAGGTTAATGAACAGTGTAGAAAGCAGGAGAGAATTGGAGCTAACGGCCAAGGTTGAATATACTTTGAGGAGGGATATATTAGGAAAGTCTCACATATATATAGTCCGAGCAGACAGACAGGGAAACACTTGCTCGGACTAAGACACGAGGAAAACAAGCTTATATGTTCTGTTAAACAATTTTGCTCCTCTGGTCGCATTGTCCAAAGACACATTGTCCTGTTGTAAGACTTCCCCTGATGTTATCTTTATTTCGTGTTCTTGGTCTACCTTGTGTTCTGTCCCTATCTTTTTTTGGGGCACATCCCCTGTATGACATAACGAAAATAGCAGGGCCCTATTTAGGCAGGTGCAGCTGCAAATGGCGGAAACATTTTGAGGGTCAAAAACATAAAACTTGTAGTAATTAAATTGCTCAGTTCTTACCCAGATAAGACTGCAGGTTGTGGTTGCCCTAATTATAACTTCTCTGGAGGCTGAACAGGTTATCTGGGATCTGCCTTGTTGGTCTGTCGTCCAGACTGAGATGTTTAAATCTCCAGATAGTGCGGCAAACCTTTTGGTCACAGCCGACGAGAAGGGACACACAGCTCGATCGATGACTTTATTCTTTATGAAACCTGTACTGGAAGTTGCTATTGCCAGACTATTTTAATGCTAGAAGGCTACTTCTAGCATTAAGATAGTATGGCAATAGCAATGATAAACGTTTTACTGGGGAAGAAATGGCGTCGGATAAATGGCTGCACAGGGGCCTCATCCATCCTAAATATGGCGCTGCACCCAGGACGTTCTCTACAAGCGGGTTTCTCCTTCTTCTGCGTTCGACATCAGTCATGCCTAATAGTTAGTCCCGATTAGCTAACAAACAGGACGGTGCGTCAAAGGTCACCACTAATTCCTCACAGCTTGTCTTGTAATGTGGCTCTTTTCTACCAGATCTCCAACCATTGCAGAGGAATTGGTGGAATCCTGCAGTACACGCATTCTGCCTATCTGCTCCACAATCACAGACAGCAGATTTGTTTATGTCTCTCATTTATAGATGTGCTCTAAGACAGTCTGTTTGAGGTGAAAAAACCGAAAGCACCTAACTTTCAAGTGCAATTTACAATATTTTTTGTACAAGCCTGACGCTATCAATTATGAGAAGGAGGAGAAACTGGAGGGGAGGAGGAGGCTTAGAAGAAGAAGAATAAAGAAGAAGATGAAGAAGAAGAAGAAGAAGAAGAAAAAAGGAGGAGGAGGAAAATAATAAAAAAGAAAAGAAAAAAGGAAGAAAGAAAGAAAGAAAAAACAAAGAAAGCTAAAAGCTGGGGATGAAACAATACAGTCCCACAATGTTTAATGTGTCACTTACATGAAGATTTTTCTTTCGTTGATAAACACAACCACAGCAGACATGTTGACAAACATCTGGTTCATCGTCACGAAAAATAAAACACCGCTCCTGTTGATGAGAACAACAAGTGATTTGAGCCACAGATAGTTTACTATTGTATAATGCGTTTAGAAACTCATGATGTCACATTTTAACAAATATCTGGACAACTCTTGTAGGGATCAACAGACATTTTCGTATATGGTCTTAGATTTCTATGTGTTTATGATTCTCTAATTTTTAAATTCCGCAGATGCTGCTGTTTTCTTAAAACAGTGAATGTCTTTGATCTTTGTTTGACTAATAACTTGTGTGGCCCTGAAAAATAGAATATACAGTAATTGATACACGGGTGGAGATTGAAAAACCTTTCCCACGTGCAGTGATGCGTGATGATTATTTTGATAGCCTATTCCCTATTCAATGAAAAATCAACAGATCACAGGACACATGTTGGAGATGACCAGTTGAGAGTGAAATGCTCATACAACACACACAATTTAATGTTTTGAAGCTCCCCATACTCAATTTAATCAAGTTACTGTAAACATGCCGAATGTGTGATTACAATCAATGTTTCTCGTTTCATTTACCACACATAAGGCCTAATTCTACGGTCTGGTCCTTTCCCCCATTGAATACGCTCTGGCCATCCTCACTGTCAGTGCTACCCAGATTGAACGACTCGAAAAGGTGCAAAATGAAGCCATGCGCATTATTTTGGGATGTACTAGAGACACATCCTGTGGAGCAATGAGGTATCTACTTGACTTTCCAACAATGAACCAAAGGATCAGGATGTGGAGGGCTCGGGCATATCTCAAAATATGCGCTGATAAGAAACACCCACTGCATCAAGCGCTTTTTTAGTGAAAAAGGGCGACAGACTGAAGAGGGGGAAATCGTGGCTAGGTCGGGCAGAAGATGTTATTAGGCAAATATGCAGCCTAACCGACATCATACCTGGTGCAGAATGGATACCTGTGCCTCAGGCGTTTATTTGTACATTTTCCTGTATTGTCACACTCAACAGGCGATGTAGAGAAGAGAATCCTGTTGCTGTTAATGCAGAGGTCAACGCTCTCATCGGTGAAAATTCAGACGAAGCAGATGCAATAATCTATACAGACGGATCCGTTATACGCCAAAGAAGAAGCGCATGGGCATTTACAGCACGCTCAGCGGGCAGAACAGTCAAAGAAGCCAACGGCGCCTTCTCCATGACAACCAGCAGCATGACGATGGATGTGATGGCAGTGACACAAGCGCTTGCCTGGCTTGAAACACAAAAATACACCCGCGTGTGTATACTCAGTGATTCAATGAGTATGATCCGGAGGGTTCGGGCAGGTTCAGTGCGAAGACAATGGCTTGAATCATTACAGAAGTCCACTGTTCGTGGAGTCACCTTTATTTTTGTTCCGGGACACGCAGGCGTCAATGGAAATGAAAGAGCTGACAGGTTGGCTGGATCCGCTATCACTACCGACGGTCAGCCTATGGATCATGCTGATATTATCAATGCCCTCAGAGAAATGGGAAGAATAGAGGACTTTGGTGGCAGTGAATCCACATCACTCGCCAGAATGGCAGACTTGGGAATTAAGATCGGCACAGCAAAAAACGAGACGCACACCAGCTACGCCAGAAGACTTGTTAATCAACATAGAACTGGTACTATTAGCCATCGGACGTTGGGGTTCATACTGAGGGGAGGATCTGAGCACCTATGGACATGTCCGGAGTGCAATGAGGATAACCCAACTAACTAACTAACTAACTAACTAACTAACTAACTAACTAACTAAGGCCTAATGAAAAACTAAATGTTTATTTACATTTAAAAAAAAGTACTTACAAGGACATTATTGTAAACAGGCTGCATACCAGATATTAACAACTTAAACCACACTGTTACTGGGTTACAGATCTTCAAATTCTGGAACGCACTATAGTCTCTCCCCTAGGTTCGTAGCATCTGGGTGCAACCAGAGGATCTGGCTGGCTCACTACACTCAGAGGAAAGGCAAGAGGGACATGTAACCAGATTGTGACCGGTACCATCAGTATTGGAACTCTGGCTGCTGAAGATGAGGACAGATCATGCATGGAAATGCCCCGAGTGCTGTGATGTCAATTATTGACTCAACTCAACTCAACCCTAGGTTTATGGAAGCTCAGCTACTAGCAGCTTGACTGTTCTCATGAAAGTCTTGAAGTCGGATCTGCAGCATCTTCCCATTGTGGGTCCCAAGACACCATTTTGAGGGAAAACAGAATAGACAATAACAGAATAGATCTAGCACTGTATGCCCCATGCACAAAGAGTGAGAACAATATCGTTAACTAGATTTTATTAGTCTTTCATCAATTAGAAACAGACAGTGAATTGAGTCATTGCAAAACTCAAATATGTGTGAAGTTACCTTCACATTTGTCCCAGAATATGTTGGGTGTTGTTGCCAATAAAAGAGTTGATAGATTAGCAGTTTCTGCATTTGTTGAAGATGGCCAGCCTGTGGATTATGCTGACAGTGTCAATGCCCTTAGAGAGATTGGACGTTCTGAGGATTTTGTTAGCAGCGTATCCATATCACTGCTATGAATACGATACTTGGAAGTTAAGATTGGCATAGACACAACCAGCATAGAACTGGCACTAGTAATCGCGTGACGCTGATGAAAATGTTGAAGGGGGGAATCTGAGCACCTGCAGGTGTGTCTTAAGGGCTGTAAAGATAATCCAACTCATAACTCAGTCAGTATTTATTGACATGTTATGAGAATTAATAAACTTCAAAACACTTCGACAAATGATAAACTTGAAATAGAAACAGTTCTAGGGAAAGACAAAAAAGTAAATAACTGGAAATTCTGCCCACATGGATATGGACAAGAAAATTGACCTCGTCAGGCAGGATGACGAGTCCTAACCCTCTATGATTAACGGCATGACGAATGATGTTACATATTAATAATATACATACACGAGAGAGAGAGCGAGAGAGAGAGAGAGAGAGAGAGAGAGAGAGAGAGAGAGAGAGAGAGAGAGAGAGAGAGAGAGAGAGAGAGAGAGAGAGAGAGAGAGAGAGAGAGAGAGAGAGAGATAGGTCTAAAGCTGACAAACTAACAGTAGAGGTTTCAGATGTTCAAAATGGCCGCCGTCTGCTGCTTAGAAAACATCTAAGCGATTGCCAAACTCACCCCACACTTGGAACTCAACTGAAGGGTCCTTGGTGGCACAAGACTGACTCTAGCGGTACGAAACTTTAGACACTCAGCTCTCTCTTATATATATATATTATTCATTTTCCATGTAAATTCAATGAAATATACATGGATAAAAGTGTATCCATCATTCCAAATAACCCTGTCTATTAAAATAATAACTGTCACTCCTCTGGGCATTGAGCTACTTTGTGATAAAGGTTTGCTGGGATCAAGTGGACAGTGCAACAGAACAGAGTATCCATACCTTGAAAGACTGATCCATCAAGGGGTGAACATTGGGGATCAAGCTGTTACCAATTACAAAAAAGGAGACACATTCTGAGAGCAGAAATCTTTCCTGTGGCACTACACAGATGCGAGCATTGACTATCTCCCAGTCCTTGGGAAGAAAATACGGGCTTTGAGCTGAAAATTCTATAGAAAGCTTCTCAGAATACCATGACCCAGGTTGACACAAAAATACTGATATGCCGAAAGATATGAAAATCAAGGAAGATGATCTAGTTAACGGCATTTTGTTTCGGAAACTGAAATATTTTGGCCATATCAAGTGCCAGCGAAGACTGGAAACAAATTTATGGAAGAAGACATGTTGCTAAGAAACAGGGCCAGGAGCCAATCAGCACGAAGTCGGGCAAAGGATATAAGTGACACATTGGAGGAAAGTTCACTAGGTGGAAGAGTTGGTGAGAGACCAAGTTTATTTCAGGCAGACCATGATGAGAGTGACGTTTTGTAAAGGACCTGCTACACAATGATGATGTGGTAATTCTACAAGTGGAAAAGACGCAAGAAGTTGATAAAATATTTGGTGAATCGTTTAGGGTTGCTTTTTGTCTTTCTTTGTCTGTCATACTGTTTATGCTGTCAAGTAGCGCAGATAAGAGTTAAATATCATCAATCATCAATCGGGTGCCGTCTTCATAGTGAAGGGTCGTAATGGGTCTCCAACATGCTCTGTCTCCTGCCCTAGTTCTTCACTTGCTCAAACTGCTGCCCGTCCATCACTTGATGTTGTCCTTCCACTTTTATCCTTGCCACCTCTTGCTCTCTGGCCTTCCACCTTTCAGTCCAGTATAGTTTCAAAATTGTTTTATTAGATATAAAAGTTTCCAGATATTTGCAAATTGTTTAGCTTGTGTTAATGTCATTCTGCATTTCTCTGGTGTCTCTTTTGCTCCTTACATCCATCTGTTTCTGGTCCTTAGCTTATTTAATTGTCTCTCTTCTTTTAACACTGACGATATGTTGAACAGGTGTTCTGTTTACTGTCATTATTTCTCTTTGTTCTGTATTTTTTAAATATTATATCTCTTGCAACAGATTTTAATGCTGCTTATGTATGGTTGTAGGTTATCCTTAACTTTGTATAGTTGAGCATGATAGTTTAGCAACAAATGAGATTAAATGAGAATCACAAACGCACCTGTCTTTAAAAGCTGTTAGAGGATCTTCGTCTAGCTGCCAGAAAATGGCGCCAATGATGATCGCAAACATAAATGCCGTGGCAACCTGAAACAGAATATCAACATTGCACGACAAACACCACATCATCAACATTATATGACAAATACCAGATCATCAACATCACATGACCAATGCCAGATCATCAACATCACATGACCAATACCAGATCATCAACATTACATGACTAATACCAGATCATCAACATCACATGACCAATACCAGATCATCAACATTACATGACCAATACCAGATCATCAACATCACATGACCAATACCAGATCATCAACATCACATGACCAATACCAGATCATCAACATTACATGACCAATATCAGATCATCAACATCACATGACCAATACCAGATCATCAACATTACATGACCAATACCAGATCATCAACATTACATGACCAATGCCAGATCATCAACATTACATGACAAATACCAGATCATCAACATTACATGACCAATACCAGATCATCAACATTACATGACAAATACCAGATCATCAACATTACATGACCAATACCAGATCATCAACATTACATGACAAATACCAGATCATCAACATTACATGACCAATATCAGATCATCAACATTACATGACCAATACCAGATCATCAACATTACATGACAAATACCAGATCATCAACATTACATGACCAATACCAGATCATCAACATTACATGACAAAACCAGATTATCAACATTACATGACCAATACCAGATCATCAACATTACATAACAAATACTACATCATCAACATTACATGACAAATACCAGGTCATCAACATTACACGACAAATACCAGATCATCAACATTACACGACAAATACCAGGTCATCAACATTACACGACAAATACCAGATCATCAACATTACATGACAAATACCAGAGCTGACATAATAAAACTTCTGACTAGTTTTTTTTCTGAAGAGAGTGAGTTTTTCCTGCACGTCTGTTTTACAGAACTGGCTTATTTGTAAGTAGCTTTGCCTATCATGCAGATGCACTGACTATAATGGAAACATTTATAACTAGAGTACTTTTACAACATGCTTATTAAAGAGACCGCAGGTTTTTTCTCCCACCCCCCTTCCTCTCAAAAGCAAATTGGAGCCCACACGGCGACATGATAAAACAAAAAGAAAAGAAAAGCACGGGTAAACTAACAAATGCAGTGCGTTTTCTATATTTTATTTTAGTTAAGGCTGTTTTTATATTTTTAATATATCAAACAGTTTCAAATCTACGGGATCACAACATCAGGGACTGAATCCAGTGACTCCTTTAATGATTGTGAGTGAGTGAGTGAGTGAGTGAGTGAAGTTATACCCCACTAGGTCCGCCCAGTGAGCGATTAACACCCGGTGACACAAAGTGCCACTAATCGAGAGGAGAATTCGAATTTTATATTGGCTGCTAGAAAACTCTTATTTTCGAATGTAGAATGTTTCGCAAATAGAATTTAAAAAATAATGAAATGTATCTGCAATAAATGAATAAATACCGTAAGAATGCTCGTTTGTGGATTCCTGACAATGTTCTTTAAGGCTCTTCCTGCAACCACACGAATCTGGAACAAGAGAAAGTAAATTCTGATATATGAAGTTGAAGTCATTACTGACAATCTTTAAAGAACAATGATAGTAGCTGAGGGATAAACAATAGTTACTAGAGAGAGAGAGCTAAAGACAGTTATCGGATGAGCAGAAGGAAAACACCTAGAGGAGCACACATGGATAACACACATACAAACATACAAACACACACAACATAAATAGACATACTCACAATCACAGATATAACACATGCACACAGATCCAAAACATTCTTCTTCTTTTTCAGCATTCCGAGCCCTTGAGGTTCATTGCTGCAGATATCTCCTGCCACCATTCATCTCTCTGGCTGGCCTTCTCTTTCCAGTTGGTGACACCAAGTGACTGCAAGTCTGTCTAGACATTATCTCTCCAATGGTCTTCTTGGTCTGCCGTGTGGTCTACGCCCATGCAGATCCCTTGTGTATACAGTGTTTTCTTCTCTGTCGTCTGACATTCTCACAATATGCCCCAGCCATTTCAGTCTTTTAGCTCTCAAGATACCAAAGATCAATAGTGATTTAAACATATTGTGAATTTCGTTGTTGCTTCTCACTGTCCATTCCCCACTGTTTGCATCTTTGATGGGTCAGAAGACTCGTCGTAATACTCTGTTTTTGAATACCTGTAATAAGGCTTCATCTCTTTTGGTTGTGCTCCAAGTTTCAAAGCCATATAGAATGATTGGTCTTATCAACATTTTATATATTTTATTCTTGGTGTTTTGATACAGACACTTTCACTTTAGATGTCAAGGGCATAGTTTATTTCCAGATTGTATTCTAGATTGTATTCTGCTCTCAGTATGTTGAAGCAGTTGAAGTTTGCATCCAAGTACTTATATGTTTTCGTTCGTTTGATTTTCATTTTATCGACTTGTATGCGGCGGGAGTTTATATTACCCTTTCCCTGTCTTGTTATTATCATGTATTCTGCCTTATCCTAATTGATAAACAGTCCCATTTTGTGAGCTTCTTATTTTAAGAGAGTCAGTTTTTAAAGTATCTAGTTCCTTTAATCCAGTGATATCAATGTCATCAGCATATACCAGTATTCTTGTAGTTCCTCCTTTAGTACAACTATTGTTTCAATTTCTGTATAATTTTCTCCAGGGCCAAGTTGAAAAGAAGTGGGGACAGAGCATCACCTTGCTTTAAACCAGATGTTATTTTAAAAGGGTCTGACTTTCTGACTTTATATACAACCATATTACAAGTGTCTTCCATACATAGTTTGGTCATGCTAATTAACTTCTTTGGTATTCCAAAGTCTATCATAACATTCCATAAACTGTTTCTATGTACACTATCATACGCCTTTTTAAAATCCACAAAAACATTACATCTCTTCTGTAACCCAAATTGTGCTCTCTATTTGCTATAAAATGAATATCTGAATTATTGTTGATCTGTTCTGTCGGAAACACATCTTCAACAGATGGTTTTAGCCTACTGAGCAGTACCGCCTATTGTATCTTATAGCTTTTAGATAATAGTCCATAATTTTCTAATTTATATACTTGTCTCCTTTCTTAACATGGGTTTTAATAATGACTCTTTCCATTCGTGGGTTAATTTCTCCGTCTTTCAAAATAGTGTTACTAATTTATATATCTTTAAATATAATGCATGGCCACCTTCTGTTATAAGTTCAGCCGCAATTCCATCAGCACCAGTTGCTTTATTGTTTTTAGCCGTGTTATGACATACAGAACTTCTTCAAAATCAGGATCTTTGACTTTTCTAGTTCACATGCTAATATCTCTTCCTGTGAATAAGTATTTAATATAGTTTCAAATTTAACAATTCAGCAAAGTATTCCTTCCATCGGTTACATATTTCCTCGTTATTTGTTATCATGTTCCCATTGTGATTTTTTAAAACTATAAAAGCTTTGTTGATGAACTCGTTTTACAGTCTTCAGTTCTTTAAAAAAAAAAAAAAAACTTTCTTGATTCGTTGTTCTGATTGTTAGCTTCCATATCCGTGACAATGTTGTTCATGTATTTTCACATCTACTGATTACTACTTTTGTAGCTTCCTAAAATTCTGTTCTATATTTTTCTTAATTCGGACGTTGCTGGTATCATTTAGCCACATCTGCCTGGCAGGTTTTTACTTACTGACTGCTCTTTTACATTTTTTTTTTAAAATCGAACCATTTCTTATTTTTTGTTGATGGTGGACATACCAAGACATTCTTCTGCATTGGTTTGAATTATATTCCTAATATCCATCCAGGTTTGGTCAACGTCGTCCTCTGATGAATTTTGTAAAGTTTTATTTTTATGTTTTAATTCATTTACAAATTTCTCTGATTTTGAATATTTCTTGTAATCTTTCTCTATTGTTCCGTGGATGCGATCTTTGCAACGTGGTGGTAGAAGGATCTCCTACGCTTGATTTTTAATTTTACACCAACCAGGTAGTTAGTAGTCACTGTGGCACTCAGCTTCTCTGTAGCTTCTAATTTGTTGTATATACGATGCTTTTTATTATTTATTAAAATTTGATTCGTTTGATTATAAGTTATTTTCTCACATGAATGCAAGGTTTGTTTATGTATATATTTTCTTTGAAATCTGGTGCTGCTTATCTGTAGTCATTTGGTTCCTGTAAGGTTGATTAATCTCCATCCATTATCGTTTAAATTTGTTTGTAAGATTTCCATGCATACATTCTGTACATATTATAAGTGTTTTCTCTTCCTTTTTTGTACTGAAATTTGAGCCAGCATAGGAGTGGCACTATAAACCACGCAACGCTGATGAATATGTTGAGAGAGGAATGAGAACCTATGGATGTGTCAGGAGTGCTGTGAAGATAATCCAACTCATAACACATAACTCAAATGACTTCAGTCCTCATATGGAGGATTCAGACTAGAATCTCCCGCCAGAGAACCCAGCGTCAGAGCGCCTTGGTGGGCCTCTTCTCACAACTAGTCAATAATAAAATAACACCATACACATATAGGCATACCTGATGGTGAAATGATGTTGCATAGTCAATGGTTTCATATTTGGCTCCCTTCAATCCGCCATTTGCCTCGAACCCAGCCAAAATGCTGCTTGCTTCTTCTTGTAACCTGTAATTGATAATTTCAACAGAACCCCGTATAGATATGATAATTTCATGTGTTCATGTGAACTGCAGATTCAGAAATCGGTGACTGGCCCTTTACCACAGATCTAGTGGTGCCTTATGCTTGTACAGCTGCAGATTTGTTATAGCTACTGCTTAGATCGCAATGAACTGCATGTCTAGTGGTGGTCTGTTGGTGTCGGCACGTCTGACGACTGTCTTATACATCTAACTGTGAATGCTGTTGGTTTTTGTCAAGACTGCATTCTGTTTAAATTTTGTTAACAAGGGACAGTAGTTTGCATTCTGTATGGCTTTTGCTGGCGCAGGTGCAGAATTATAAGTTGAGAACCGATTTCACGGCACTTAGGATATTCACATAAGTGCGCAGTCCCCATCTTCAGCAACAAGCTCAGATTTTTTATTCCGATGGTACCAGTAATGGTCTGACTGTTTGTCCGTCTCCCCTTGCCCCTGAGTGTTGAGCGTCGGCCAGATCCCTTGGTCACTCCTCGCTACATCTTTTTCTTCAAACTGTCCTGATCTCATTGTGTCTCTTCACTGTTTACTCTCTCCCAAAACACCCTTACAACATTTAGATTGTCATGCATAAATTTACCATCCACATAAAACCGAAAAACGCAAGAAGAAGAAGAAGAACCTGAAGTGTCTTGAGGTTACAACAAGGTACAATACCTGTGGTGTGCAGCCGGTTCTCAGTGTTCCCCAGGGAGGTCACATGTTTGCTATATATATCTCCTAAATATGAGACCCGTAGGCACTTTTTATTACACAGCAATTGTATAGACAATCACATCACCTAAATGAATAAAGATTCTGTGGTGTGTGCCAGTCCCACTAAGTTTCACAACACAAGTCTGCCTGTCACCCCTTTCCTCGACAGGACCACAAAAGCACCTTACATTTTGTCACAACTGCTTCTACTTGATGCATGAAGGTCAAGAGTGGTGCAGTTATGATCCATTTGTCCTGAAGTTTGACCTGTGACTCACAAACCAATTATTTAATATTTTCAGTGGTCTTATTTTCTTCTTCTTCGATCCTTCTGTCAGAAAACTTATACTGATGAGGCGTAGCCTTATCGAAAGCTATAGTGCATCATATCCTCTCGTGTACATGTACAGTTTTGTCTCATTGTGGTGGAACAGGCAAAGCGTCATGCTTGGTCACCTACAGTTGACAGTGTTGGAGCACATGTCAGCATTTTCGGGTGCAACGTTCAGGGACAGTCTCCGGTATTTCCTACACCGAAAAAATTGAACATATGTTGACGAAATCTGTTGTGTCCTGTCCTTAGTCTGATATAATAGACGTCCCTCATCTAGAGAGGCGATGAAGTGAGTCTCGGGAGAAAATCTGTTGTGGTACCATGACCTTTTTGTCACATACAGGATGTACTAGTGTTTTCATCATCTTGGTGGGTTAGGTCGCTATTTGGTTGTACCAGATCACTGCCGCTTCTGGCAAATCTAGTCCGCTATGTCATTGCCTTCAAGCACAGTGACCTGGAATCCACTGACCACTACGATTGTTATTACTGAAGAGCAGGTAAATCAGCTGTTGCGTCAGTCTAACAAACTGAGGCTCTTTGGGTCAACAATTGCTTGTAGAACTGACATAGCATCAGTCAGAAAGACCACTCTGCTCTATTTGCGTGCTGTTGGTCCATTCAGAAAGAAACATGCGGCAGAAGTGCCTCTGCCTCTGCTCTGTAATGGAGGAATATGAAACATGTTGGACCAGCTGGTTGATTTTTAAAACCATTTGGCATTCTATGTTATTCCTCCTCCTCAGTCTCTAACTGCTACTCTGGCTAACACCTGTTGTACACTCGAATCCAAACTCTGTGTGGGTAAGTCTATTGATCTTCTCGTTCTGTAGTTATTTCCTATCAGTGCTGTCATTGATGATTTGGAGGAGACCCCTGTACAGTGGCTTCTGACGTTGGTAGGCTCAAACCTAAGCAAGCGGGCAGTCGTTGTCAGGTTTAAGTGGAAAATTTGGTAGTATGGAGGGAGTTTAAGGACAAGAGTTGGCATTTGCGTTCTAATAAAGCAAGTTATCTTAGTCTAGACTTTCTGGGTTCTGCAGTCGGCTGTACCAGGGTGTCTTGAAAGTGGTGGTATTTGAGAGAGCTGGGGTGAGGATCTCGTGTCTCTCCTATCTTCCAGAGTATAGAGACCAGTAATTGTGCATATCTGATATGGGCGTCGAGGCATTGCCCCTGTCATAATACGGAGGCATGGTTTTGGATCTTTGAGATTTTTGAAAAATTTGATTTAGCTGCCTGTGCCCCAAGCAGCTACTCCATATTCTAGTGTTGGCCCTCACATAGCATGTATAGGTCTCTCTAAGGACATTGAGGTTTGCCCCCCCAGTCCTGTTCCAGCTAACTTCCTCATCAGTTGGGTTCGTCTTGAGCCTTAGCCCTGTGTCTGTTATATCATGTTGTTCTCCATGTGGAGTCTTGACGTCAAAGGTTACTCCTAAAATATGACGGTGAGTCATCATGTATCAGTGCCAGGGCTGCCCATATCTAAGTGAAATTTCTGGGGTTTGGTTGAGAGACTGAAAATGGTGTGTGTGGTTTTGGCCCCATTTACAGGCATTGTACCAGCTATTGGACCACTCTCTCTGAGAGTTCCGGGGGATAGATTCTTGAAGCCTTGTCTGTGCTTTTTCAGTGTCCTCCTCTGAACTCAAGTAGCGCAGGAGCATCCTCGGCATACGAACGGCTTGAACTCCATTACAGAGGGTGAATTTTATGTCGTTAATGTAAACTCGGAAAAGAATTGGGGACAGAACTCGCCTTGTGGAACTCATGTTTCACTGAGACTGATCTGCTCCCTGTAACCCTGATCTTGACTCTTGACACATCGATTTTCAAGATATGTTACCGATCCAACCCAAGCATGTGATGGACTATTCCACTTTCAAGGAGCTTTTGTTTCAGCCCATTTTTCCAAACTTTGTCGAAGGCTTTTCCATATCAAACCAGCTGCTGCATACAGTGTGCTTTTTTTCATGGAATGCATCTTCAATGTGTTGAGACAATAAATGTTAATTTGGTCTTCTGTTGATCTGCAACGTCGAAAACCTGGCCTGTTCCTCCATTAGTTGACGTGTTCTCTAGGAAACCAGGTTCAGTCGGTTGTTTAATAAATCTTGCAAATAGTTTTGCACAGACAGGATAGTTGAGGATGATGGGGTCTGTAGCTGTCTGCGTTGTTCTTCGGCCTTTCCTTGTTCAGGATTAAGAAGAGATTTCAGACTTTCTCCAGGCTGGAGGAAACTATACTAAAAATCCAGGCTGGCATTAAAAGATGTTTAATAATTTTTTTTGGCACTTAGCCCCATGTGTAGTAACGAGTCATTCTTGATTTTATCGGGGCCAGGGCCTTGGTGAGATTTCAGCTGGTGGAGGTCCTGGTTAAGTCTCACTCATTGAGAATTTATCTGTCATGATGCTCTATGCTGGTTTACTCTTGCTGGCATTCTCGAGTTCCTTTTATTCTTGTGTACTACCTTCATCTTCTCTGGACTTTTCTAGATTAAATTCATTAAAAACAGATTATAAACTGATTTTTTAAAGGATATCTGCAGCATTCGTTTCCAGATCTTGATCTCATTGCCCTGCATGATATTACTATTGGATTGGCTTGCTGGGGCTTCTCCATTTAGACACTTGACTAGTTTCCAGAGTTTGGACCCATGCTTGTCAAAAACTTAGGCTTTGGTTTTGTCTTGCCCCGCTCTTCCTAGTTGCTTGAAGTGTGTTATTTTCTTAGTTTTAGCTTCTGCTGCTTTGTTTATAAGCAATGTTGTTTGTTAACCGTTGGGTCTGCTTTCTACTCTATCTCTTGCTTTCTGAGAGAGTGGTGGAGGTCTTGAATGTGTTGGGACCAAAATGGGATGTATCTTTCCTTGAAACCCCGAGAGTATGGTTTCTTTAGCTGCTTTTAATATAGCTTCTGTAAACTCTTTACTGATCTAGCAACCTGACTATGATTTGCAGTTTTACATTTTCGGAGCTAAATCAGCCAAGGTAGCAAACTTTCCCAAGGGGTTTTCAGTCAGCTTTCTTGTAAATTACAAACGAAGGGGCGGCATCGAATGAAGGCCTCTTCTCATATTTTAGAACAGAAAATCAGGATCGGTCTCTGGCGTCACTACCTGCTAGTTGGCGGAGCAACGTTTTGGTGTATGTGCTTGCCAAGTCTATACGTGGCAAATGTTAAGTCTGGGCGCTGAGTTGAAAAGCCATCTCCTGGTCGAAAAAAGATGTGGGGGTTCATCTGGGTTGTTGATAAGCTGGAGTCTGGCATATGTCGGCAATCCTCCACTTCTTCCCCTCTCTCGCTTTCATGAGCTGTGAATATCCCCAGCTTGGAGAGACAGCTGTAAAATCTCCTAGAACGATAACAGTTGTCATCTGGGATTCTCATGCTGTATAATGAGAGTTCTTTGGCTTGGGCGGGGCAGTAACAATTGATATTACACAATTCCTTGCCTGCAATTGTTAAGCCTGGCACACCCATGATCTCAGACTCCTGTTTTGTGTCCACTGTAAGACTAGCTGGCTGGGATGATGTTTTTTACTAGGATGCCTGACTCCTCCCTAGGGACCATTTCGTCTGTCCTGTCTGAAGCACTGGAAGCTTATAATACAGAAATCTGTGCTTTTTCTGACAGGTTGTGGTCTCCTGTATACAGGCTATATATCAATGTTTCCTTTCCGTAAGTTGTTTTGTGAGTTGCCAGCTTTTTTGTTGCGGACTCCCATCTGCATTCCATTGTAGAGAATCCTCAGAGCGACAAACGGCTTCTTGCCAATCTTGTCCCTCTGATTAAATGATAATCTAGAGCGGTTTTTTGTCTAGCTTTGCGAGGTGCGTTGACGTCTGTACAGTTGCCACTTTTAAGGTAGGGCTCCACCATGGTATGGTTCACTGAAGTGGTTAAAAGATTAAACCACCACAGTCTTATTCCTGCTAGGATTTTCTGACATTCAAGAAGGTATGCGTGACTTCAGGTTTTGTGGTAAAATATTATACCACACTATCCTGGGGCCTTCGAACCTGGGTCTCCGTCTTCAACGTGCTTTTCTTTCAGGATGTGCTTCCTTAGCCCGTAACCAACCAACATTGCCTTGTAACAAGGATACAAGCCAGTATCTTTGCTCCTATAGCTTCGTAACAAGCATTCACTGTGCTACATTGTAAAACTTCTTATTCTTCTTCTTAAAGTCCATGCCGTGTGGCTTTGGTAGTCATGTCTATCCACAACTTTCTGTCTCGTGTATTTTTATTCAACTCTGACAAAGATGATCCTCCATGTCATGGTGTCAAACTGTCCAGCATCTGTTCTCTCAATCTCTCTCTGCCTCTCTTCCCCTCCAGCTTTCCTACAGTCACGATGTACTCCAGTTTTCTCCTTCTCATCAAATGACTAAAAAATGTAGATTGTCTCTTCCTGATGTGGGCAATCAATTCTCTACGTGAGTCAGTTTCTTTCATGACGTCTTCATTACTCTTGTTATCTGTCCAGTGTACTCTCATCATTCGTCTAGAAAACCACATCTCCGCAGCCCCAAAACAGACCAGTTCAAATTTATATAGTACATTCAAACCATCCTCAGCGAAGGTGGATATATTGATACTGAAGATGAAATGGTCATGAAAGCACATAGGGCTGAGGGAATAGGCTATAGAAAGAGAGACTTCCAGGCATCTGTGACGGGAGCGACGTTCTAAAAGGGATCTGCTGATTGAGGAAGATAATGTTCAGACAATATGGAAAAGATTTCCAACCAACAGCATGTTGCTCTATATACAGGAACACTGGCTGATGATACACACAGACAATAGCTAATGGTACACACAGACAATAGATGACAATACACGTACACAGTAGATGATAATAAATGCATGGCTGAAGATGATGATACACGCCAACAACAGCAAATGATATACACAGATAATAGAGGATGATACATGCAAAAAACAGGATGAAACAAACACATAGTAGATTATGATTCACGCACACAGGATATGATTATACAGACAGATAACAGATGATGTTACAAACAGACAACAGCTAACGATACATGCAGACAACAGCTAATGACAAACACGGATAAAGACTGATGATACACGTAGACAATAGTTGATGAAATTCTGCTAGACAAAGAAAGAGAAAAATGATTTACCTATTGTTCCAGCTTGAGCTCTTGAATCCCTCCACCAATTTATCATGCTGGCTGACATGAGCTGAGGATTTACAGTTCAATTATTTTCTGCGTAAACATGAAGAAATCCAGGCATTTAAGAGCTTTAGTAATTGATACAGAAGTTGAGAAAACATAACAGATCTTGCTTTTCTTAGGACATACATATTTATTCTGTCCAGTTTTATGTATATGTATGTGTGTGTGTGTGTATATATATATATATATTAATATCTTAAGAAAGCTTGTTCATTTTAATTTAGTCTCGACTGAGACCCAGTGACCTAATAGGGAATAAAGCGTAGAAGAAGAACAAGAAGAAGAGGATAGGTAGCAGTGATGGTGGTGGTAGTAATAGCTATAGTAGTAGTAGAAAAAAATAATGAACGAGTAGAACAAGAACAACAATAGACACAGAAGAAAAAAAGAAAAGAAATAGTATGAGAGCAAGAATAATAATAGAAGTAGAAGAAGAAGAAGGACGAGGAGAAAAGGAGGAGAAGAAGGAAAAAGGAAGAAAAAGACGGAGGAGATGGTGGAGAAGAAGAAGAAGAAGAAAAAGAATAAGATGAAGAAAAAGAAGAAGAAGAAGAAGAAAAAGAAGAAAGAGAAGGAGGAGGAATCAGTTCATACAAGTTTATAATCAAGTGGATTCATTTTATTGTACCGGATTCTGTCCCATATTGCTTGGTCTCTCTCACTCCAGTACTTTAAGCCACTTTGCCGAAAGTGTTGCAGAAAGCATGAACTCTGGTAAAGGATAAATACTGCACAAGAAGATGATATACCAATATCAGAATGACATTCACTTCGCAAAAAGATGATTTACCAAGATCAGAAGGACATACACTGCGCAAAAAGATGATATACCAAGATCAGAATGACATTCACTTCGCAAAAAGATGATATACCAAGATCAGAATGACATACACTGCGCAAAAAGATGATATACCAAGATCAGGACATGCGATGCACAAGAAGATAATATACCAAGATCAGAAGGATATATACTGCACAAGAAGATGATATACCAACACCAGAAGGACATACACTTTGCAAGAAGATGATATACCAACACCAGAAGGACATACACTTCGCAAGAAGATGATATACCAACACCAGAAGGACATATACTGCACAAGAAGATGATATACCAACACCAGAAGGACATATACTGCACAAGAAGATGATATACCAACACCAGAAGGACATATACTGCACAAGAAGATGATATACCAAGATCAGAAGGACATACACTCAACAGAGAACAAGCATGATAACACACAAAAACATATAAACAAACACTTACGTTCAATCTCTTCATCAAGATCTTTCTCTGCAACATCACTCCGCTTCAAAGTTGTGGGGTCACCATTGATAACGTCGAGGAAGAAATCAGGGGGATTATTGTGCTCTTGGCAATGGAAACCTGACGGATTAAAGTGTATAAACCCTATATGTCCCCCACATCGCATGATGTGTGCTTGTTTATTTTTCTTACAATCCCTGCCAAATTTAGATTGGCACTTTTTCATCTTTTCAGACGACAGTGTTATACTGCGCTGTGAGGAAGTATGGTAGTAGTAGTAGCAACAGTAGTAGTAGTAGCAACAGTAGTAGTAGTAGTAGTAGTAGTAGCAACAGTAGTAGTAGTAGTAGCAGCAACAGTAGTAGTAGTAGCAACAGTAGTAGTAGTAGTAGTAGCAACAGTAGTAGTAGTAGCAACAGTAGTAGTAGCAGCAACAGTAGTAGTAGTAGCAACAGTAGTAGTAGTAGCAACAGTAGTAGTAGTAGTAGTAGCAACAGTAGTAGTAGCAGCAACAGTAGTAGTAGTAGCAACAGTAGTAGTAGTAGTAACAGCAACAGTAGTAGTAGTAGCAACAGTAGTAGTAACAGCAACAGTAGTAGTAGCAACAGTAGTAGTAGTAGTAACAGCAACAGTAGTAGTAGTAGTAACAGCAACAGTAGTAGTAGCAGCAACAGTAGTAGTAGCAGCAACAGTAGTAGTAGCAGCAACAGTAGTAGTAGTAGCAACAGTAGTAGTAACAGCAACAGTAGTAGTAGCAGCAACAGTAGTAGTAGCAGCAACAGTAGTAGTAACAGCAACAGTAGTAGTAACAGCAACAGTAGTAGTAACAGCAACAGTAGTAGTAACAGCAACAGTAGTAGTAACAGCAACAGTAGTAGTAACAGCAACAGTAGTAGTAGCAGCAACAGTAGTAGTAACAGCAACAGTAGTAGATAAACTTTGTTTAAGCTATTAGTGCATTGAGAATAAGATGCTAGTCTCATATTTTTAAAGTCCATATTTTTATAGTCCAATTAGACAGAAAAATGCTAAGAAAACCATGGGCCAAGAAAAAGAAAAATGCTGACATCCTGCATGATATGAGCATCGGGGAGAATTGGCTCATAAAGAGCATCCTGTACCAAAAACTGAAGTATTTTAGTCATGTTAAACGTCACCATGGGCGGGGGGGGGGTGATTGGGGGGGGGGGAGGGTGCCAATGCCTCTTTCGAGGCAGCTGCAGACTTCACTAACGCGGATACAAGACATTGAAGATGTGTTAGCTGTGAAAGCAAATAGGAACTGGAGAACTAACTAGAGAAAGACAGACTTTCAGGCGTGTTGTGAGGTGACTGCCATTCTGTAAAGAACCTACTGACTGAATTTGATAATGGATGTTTGTAAACACAACAGAACATATTCGATTACCTTGGGACTCAAAGAAATCCAGGGCTTCGCGAGCTGGACCATGATAAACGATTGATCCACTTGACAGAAGCATGAGGCTGTCAAACAGCCGATAGATGGAGTAGCGCGGTTGGTGGATGGAGAAGATGATGGTGCGTCCTTTTCTTGACAACCTGCATAGTGCATGTTCTCTGTTTATTGCAATACCTCTAAATAACCTGAATAGTGCATGTTTTCTGTTTATTGCAATACCTCTATATAACCTGAATAGTTAATGTTCTCTGTTTATTGCAATACCTCTATATAACCTGAATAGTTAATGTTCTCTGTTTATTGCAATACATCTATATAACCTGAATAGTGCATGTTCTCTGTTTATTGCAATACCTCTATATAGCCTGTATAGTGCATGTTCTCTGTTTATTGCAATACCTCTATATAACCTGAATAGTTAATGTTCTCTGTTTATTGCAATACCTCTATATAACCTGAATAGTGCATGTTCTCTGTTTATTGCAATACCTCTAAATAACCTGAATAGTGCATGTTCTATGTTTATTGCAATACCTCTATATAACCTGAATAGTTAATGTTCTTGTTTATTGCAATACCTCTATATAACCTGAATAGTGCATGTTCTCAGTTTATTGCAATACCTCTATATAACCTGAATAGTGAATGTTCTCTGTTTATTGCAATACCTCTATATAACCTGAATAGTGCATGTTCTCTGTTTATTGCAATACCTCTATTTAACCTGAATAGTGCAAGTTCTCTGCTTTTTGCATTTTTTTTTTTTTAGAATTCTATACAACCTGCATAGTGCATGTTCTCTGTTTATTGCAATTTTTAAATTCTATACAACCTGCGTAGTGTAGTATTTTGTTATTTAGCATGCGTTGTACATTATGAATTTATGGTTTTTAACCGCAAGTTATACAAATGCAACCTGCGTATATTTATTTTAAGTACGAGTGATATAAGTGCATTACGAGTGAGTGTTTTTAAAATGCTAATGATACAAGTGCATTACGAGTGAATGGGTTTGAAGTGCTAATGATACAAGTGCATTACAAGTGTATGGTTTTGAAATACAAGTGATATGAGTGCATTACGAGTGTATGGTTTTGAAGTGCTAATGATACAAGTGCATTACAAGTGTGTGGTTTTGAAATGCAAGTGATATGAGTGCATTACGAGTGTATGGTTTTGAAGTGCTAATGATTCAAGTGCATTACAAGTGTATGGTTTTGAAATGCAAGTGATATGAGTGCATTACGAGTGTATGGTTTTGAAGTGCTAATGATACAAGTGCATTACGAGTGTTTGCTTTTAAAGTGCTAATGTTACAAGGGCAATATCAGTGCATGTTTTTAATGTGCAAATGATGTGCCTGTAGTATAAGTGTTTAATTTTTGATATGGTCAATTATTTCCTTTATCTTTTTTTTTGTTCTCCTTCAACAACTCCGTATTAATTCCGTCTTTTTATACCCCCAGTATTTCACTGTTGTTATATAATTATAATAATGATAATAGTAATAATATTAATAATAAGAAGAAGAAAAAGAGGATGCAGAAAAAAAGAAGAGGAGAAATACAACAACGAAGATGAAGAATAAGAGGAAAATGAGAAAGTGGCGGAGGTAGAGAGTTGTGGCGGAGGTAGAGAGTTGTGGCGAGGAAGAAGAAGAAGAAGAAAAAGAAGAAGATTATACAAGAAATATAAAACAAACCTCCTCAGAAACAAAAGAACGGTATTCGCCGTATTTGCATCAAGACCTGTGGTTGGTTCATCAAGGAACAGTACAGGAGGGGAGATAATTAATTCCATGCCAATGTTGCAACGCTTTCTCTCTCCCCCTGAAATACCTCGTATAAACTCATTGCCAACCTGTAATAACACAACCAAGTTATCCTTTAGTGGATTCTTAGTTAGCTAGTCAGTCGATAGATTACCCTCACTGCACATCGAATCATTCAGTCCATGAGTGCTCGCTCGCATCCCCTCCACAGTAAATTCCGCAGCAAGTAGCGGCTAACGACACCGGTTATGTGTTGGTTTTCTACTCTTCTTTGTCTTACTGCATGGTCTCTTGTCTGGCCATAGTGTGTGATGGACCATTCGGGTAATCAAATATACAAAACATAACAGACAGCGCATAATGTGTTCACTTACATTTTAAATTTGGTCAGAGCAGGTTAAAAGAATTTGGCTACTTGTGTGGTCATTCACTGAGCTTAGCCTCTGTTTATCATTTAAAATGTGACTCCATTTGGACATTTGCTGCACAGTCTTGTGATACTGAATAAGTTGACTGTTGCAAATTACAGTCACATGGGTCACGCAAACGTCTTACTTCTCGTAGATAATACAGTATATCAGCCTGGCCAGGGACTAGTCCGTCCTTTACAGTAGTTTTCTTTACCGGCAAGCCTATCAGCTTGCTTATTTCCTTGTACTCATGCCCTGACACGAAAAAAAAACTGATCTATTTTTTTTACTCCGACCCCCTTAGAGACACCAACCACTGTCTTCGGACCCAGCCTATATCACCTTCCTAGGCATACTAACCGAGTCACAGAGAAAACATGCCCAAGTAAAAGTATGTGTCTCTTGAATCTTCTGCTGGATAAAGTGCCCTAACATGGTGTCAATCTCGGTAGTGTAAGTAATGCTGACATATAATTAAAATACAACATTAGGACTTATACTGACGTGCGCAATGGCGCCCCCATCAAGAAATCTCTTTCAGAAGTTGAACGGGGTATCACCGCTTATTCTTTTGGTCTGACACAGCAATGCCAGGTTTCTCATAATCATCCGATCGGAAAGGAGGTCAAAATGGGAACCCATGGGTAGGTGCTTTGCTGGAGAAAAAATCGTCATATCCAGCCAGCACCCCCGAAGGTGGAACTTGAGGTTATAATTGTGACGCCACTAAGAGCCCTAAAGAACCCTGCAGTATTGATGAGATCAAAGGAGACAGACCCAAATACTGTCCTGACCTGCGGCGAAGTTGTCTACCGGCGAGCCAAATGGCGAACCATCGACGATGACATTAAAAAGCAAACTGAGAGTAAGAGAACTACAGGGGTATAATAAATGTGATACAGGAATGGTTAGCATTTAGACCTTAAGACTTTTGCTGCGAGAAATAAAGCATCGATGGACATGCCAGGTGTACTGTGATGTCGATTCTTAAATCAGTAATCAGTTTTATTCAGTGAATTTTAAACTGACTTACTTTTGTATTGGCACATTTCTCCAGCCCTAACTCTCTGATGACGTCTTCTACCCTGGCGTTTCTCTCACTGTCGCTGACAGATCGGGGAAGTCTCAAAGACGCTGAGAAGTGGAAATTTTCTTTGACCGATAACGTTCCCATGACAACATCGTCCTGCAATTCAAAGAAGTCTTGTGAGAATTGCAGAGATTTGTATCACAAAAACAAATGTTGAACTCATTGAGTGCCAAATGGATTCACAGAATCCACCCTCATTTATAAACAACCAATAGAACAGACGGCAACAAGATAATAGACAGGCAGATCCGCAAAACACTTGTAGTTGCTAACTGTAAAGAGAGAACTAATCAGAGAGATGAATGGAGGCATTTGAAATCTGCAGCAAAGAACAAAATGGGCTCGGAATAAGAAGAACAAGACCAGGACAAACCATGAGTAAATTACTTTCAAAGAAGCTAAATACTGTAAAAGCCAGAATTCAGTATGATCTGGTAAAATATAAGATTAGTTGCGTATCCTTTACAGGACGTTGCAGAACCAACTCCAGCAGCCCCATGGCTGTTTTGTGGTTTCTCTAGGCAAATTTACATCCAGTACTTTGCCATTTCTTCTGGACGGTCGGCCCCCTGTTACCACTGTCGAAACCAACGCAAGGCGCATGGCCCGCAGCTGGGATCGAACCCGGCACCCCGGCATTATGAAGCGTTTGCATCGACTTAGCCACGGGGCCGACGTCAAATATTTATATATTAAAAACAATACCAAAACATATTACATACTGGGTAGAATTCAAGGAAAACCTAATCACGCATCATATGTTGTTAGGTACTAAAAGCGTTAATCAATATGAGGTGAGCTACACAGGATAGAAACAGATAAAACGACTTGGCCGTGGGTTGGTTGAGATCCCATGATTCAAGAATGTGGAAAAGAGATTAATCCTAGATGCAAACATGAAAGAAGAGAATATTTTACTTGGAATAGGGACCTAAACAATTTTATTCTAGTACTCAAATATCAACAATATAATATAATTTAATATAATTTAATTATAATAAAAAATAATTATAATATAATGTAACAAAATAATAATATAATATTATACATATGATACAATACAATATTTTTTCATGTAATTAAATGTAATATAATACATTAAAATGTTGTGTTATAAAATAAGATATGATATTATATATATAATCTAAAAAATATTTTAAAAGTAATATAAGTAATAAGCTTATCTAATAAATAACGTGATACACATATACATACTGAAACACATATAGATACTGATACACATATGCATACTGAAACACGTATTGATACTTTTTTTTTTAATCGATCACCGGCTGTGAATTCCAGTGGAAGGTCCCGGTTAATCGTCCGCTTGGACTTTTGGCTTTTTTGTGTGGGTCGAGACGTTGCCTGATTTGTGTGGTGTCCACTTTGTCTCCTTCTCCGCAGGTATTGCCCCCGGAGTACCCCTTTGGGGCAGCCCCCTGTGGAACAGTTAGCCCTCAAGGGAAGGCAGGGGCAGATCATGGGCATTCCCCGCCATCCAAGGAGGCTTCCATGCATGCAGAGCCGGCACATGGCGCTCTGGTTCTGGGCTCACCCAAGGAATCGTCACGTCCTGCACATGCCTGCTTAACCTCACAACCGTATCAGGCCTCCCGCTCGACAGGGGGTGCGCCCTCTGGAAGTCAGCGGGGAGCAGCCCGTGGGTTTTGGACTTTTGTGACCACACAGATAGGTACATTCTTTTTTTTCTTCGCACGTTAGATTTCTTTGACGAGCCGTTAGCCCGACAGAATTTTACATCCTGCATCAGGCATATCGTTATCAGTTTTGTCCCAACACTCGGGCGAGTGGGGTCTTTGGGTGTGGACATTCGGTCTTTTTCAGTTCAATACAAATTTTGATGGTCAGATTTTGATCCGTATGATCTAGTTTTGTCGGACATTTAGGCTTAGCCATCCGATGGATGGTTGCTGTTGTGGTGTACCTCAGCGCGGTGACGACGACACTGAGGGTTAACCGAGGATGTACATGAATGGCCAGCCTATGGATGGTTGCTGTTGTGGTGTACCTCAGCGCGGTGACGACGACACTGAGGGTTAACCGAGGATGTACAAGGATAGCCAGCCTATGGATGGTTGCTGTTGTGGTGTACCTCAGCGCGGTGACGACGACACTGAGGGTTAACAGAGGATGTGCAGTGAACAATGTTCTCTTTACTCCGCAGTCTTTTAACCAAGGTTGTAAGTTTGGCAAACCTACTCATGTTCCTAATGAGTTTTGATAACATTTTTCACCCAAGCGTTTGGGGGCGGGCTGATGAGAGCCACAAGGACACATCACCAAGACAGCTCTGTTAATGCTCATTTGAGACATTATCCGTGGCGCACGACGAGGACGTGCTGCAGGGGTCTTGCGTGAGGTTCCGTACAACCAGGATAGTAAAGGACTGGCGCCCGAGTGACGTACGGAGTATCTCCTTATACAAATTATGTTGGACTTAACTTCCCCTCACGCCTGTGACATAAATCACCGCGCCACGTATAGATACTGATACACATATACATACTGTTAGAAAACAAGTGCAATGGTCTGCATCATCTATCACGACACGTAATATTGACGATGCTGCTGATGATGTTAGATAATATTAATGATGATGATCGAGAACAAGGTACCTGCACAACGTATCCCACCATGCACTTAAAATTGTTTGGCACCGGTTTGCCGTCCAAGAGCAGCTGACCTGTCACACCAGAAGGTTCTTTTCGACCAGCCAGCACATCAAGAAACCTGCGAGTAAATCAAGAAACCTGGAAGATAATCAAGAAACCTGCAAGAAAATCAAGAAATTGACGAAAGCATGTAGAAACCTGCAGGTATATCAAGAGACCTGCAAATACTTCAATAAACCTGCAAGTATATCAAGAAAGCCCAAGCAGATAAAACAGTACTTCAAGAAACATGCAAGTGAAACAAGAAACCTGCAAGTAAATCAAGAAACCTGGAAGATAATCAAGAAACCTGCAAGAAAATCAAGAAATTGACGAAAGCATGTAGAAACCTGCAGGTATATCAAGAGACCTGCAAATACTTCAATAAACCTGCTAGTATATCAAGAAAGCCCAAGCAGATAAAACAGTACTTCAAGAAACATGCAAGTGAAACAAGAAACCTGCAAGTAAATCAAGAAACTTGGAAGATAATCAAGAAACCTGCAAGAAAATCAAGAAATTGACGAAAGCACGTAGAAACCTGCAGGTATATCAAGAGACCTGCAAATACTTCAATAAACCTGCTAGTATATCAAGAAAGCCCAAGCAGATAAAACAGTACTTCAAGAAACATGCAAGTGAAACAAGAAACCTGCAAGTTAATCAAGAAACCTGCAAGAATATCAAGAAACCTGCAAGTATATCAAGAAACCTGCAAGTATATTAAGAAACTTGCAAGTAAATCACGAAACATACAAGTACATCATGAAATCATTAGGTACGTCATGAAATCTGCAAGTACACCAAGAAACTCGGTTAGCGGGGTAGGGGTATCCCCTATCAAAGGAGAACTAAGACGCCTCCTTTCCTCCGCTAGTCTACGGGACACCCTTGGGCAAGGTGGAGTACCCGTTTAGCCCCCCAATCAGGGTTACGTGAAGCCATGGAAGCAGGTGGTGGATGGAGTGTAAGAGCAGCCGACAGGTATTGTTGGTTATGGTCTGCACTCTGCGGCGATAGGCAGATGATCTCATCAGTAGAGACAATGGCTATGGCCACCGACTAGTATGGTCACTGCTCAGGAGGAAAGCAACGGCAAACTACCTTCTGCAAATTTTGCCAAGAATCCATAACAATCATAAAAGAAAACATAACACAGAAGAGATCTGGTGGCGAGACCCCCAGGCCAGGCAGATCAGATAAGAGGAAGGCCAAGGAGAAGATGGGTGCAGGATGTGGCAGATGATCTCCAGATGGGTGTATCAGACGCAGGACATCTTGCTCAGGATAGGAAGGTTTTTCGGAGGGTTGTTATGGCAGCGAGGTTCCGCGAGGGACATGCTACTGAATGAATGAATGACACCAAGAAACCAGCAGCAAGAACATCAAGAAACATATCAGTACACCATGAAACCTGCAATTACAGCAAGAAACCAACAAGTACATCAAGAAACATGCAAGTATATCAAAAAAGCTCGAGCAGATCAAAGAGTACAATCAGTACATCGAGAAACCTGCCAAACTAAAGAAAAAATTTAATACATAAGAACATGAGATAAAATCAAGAAACAGCCGAAAATTAAAAAACCCGAGAGAAAATCGAGAAACTGCAAAATTAAAAAAACCTAAAAAAAAAAAAAAAAAAATCAATTTTTGGTTTTACTTTTTGCCCTAGATTTTGGGTTAAAAAATTAAAATCCGTTAACACAGTTTATTGCAATTAAAAATTTGGGCTTTTGTCCCACCTGATGATGCTGCGTTCAACCCTGCGCAATCCCAAATCTGTTACAATGGAAAATTTTTGGTTTTCAAAGTAAAAAATTTTCTGTTACAAGGTTAATTTTTTCTTTTAATATAGCATTTCGGTCACAAAATTAACATTTTTTGTTTCACATTTTAAAATTTTTTGGTCTAATGTAAAAGTTTGCGTTACGATGTTTAAAAACTGATGCATAGTCAGGTGCTTTTACTTTAACCCCGACGAGTCGGGGCCCCGATATAACCTAAGGTTTACAGGGGTTTC